TTTGTATTTGAACCGGTTGGGGGGCCCGGGGGGGGGGGGGGGGGAGGGGGTTCTGGCCGTTAAGACTGTGATAATATGCAAGCCAGTTTGGGAGCTTCAGCTTCTTAGTGTAATACAACAGATGTTCTGCCACGGTGGTGTAACCAAACCATCTCCAGCCAGGTGGCTTGGCAGCTAGCTTGTTGTTGTCCTTGACGAACAAGTGACGAACAAGGTGCATTCTATGACAAGCTTTGGTCACTTCACAAAAGCTGACCAGTCTTTTCCCAAATAGTGCCATTGTCATGTATGGATTTAAAATAAAAATAAAAAGTAGTGACTGTTTCATTTTGTAACAATTTAAAAATAAAAAAAAATAAAAAAATAAAAAAACATATAAAAGTATATATTTAAAAAAAAAAAAAAAACAACACATTTCAAATGCCCTTCATCTTGAATTTCCTAGTCCATTAGTCCAGGCGTGGTTGAAACAGATATTTTCAAGAAACTTTTTGACAATGACGAAGACAAAACCAAGAAATTTTTATCTGAAAGAAAGGTAAGGTGGTGTGTTAATTGAATCAGAAGAGAGTAATAGTGTTAAAAAACTTAAGATATTCAACTCGCTTGCTTAGTTTTTCATGCTTATATTTTAATATGACCCCTCTTATCGGACCAGTAGGAGTCGAGTTCATCTGATGAACACGATGAGTGACCAACTGACTATTGGTCCCGTCTAATTTACGTTGGGGTTGGGTGGTGAAAGAGAAGGGGGGCATGGCAATTACCTTAGACTTAGATGCATAGGGTTGTCTGTCACCCACTGCTGAGACTCATGGTTTCATGGCACCTTCTCCAGATGTCCGTGATCTGGTGACAACCTCCTCAGTTAGGTGGCACCCTGTTCAGGAGGACCCCTTGCTTTCGTTTTTAACTACGTCGGTAATGAAACCGACTCGAGATAACTAACTGTTAAATTTACGTTCTTCCATTTTGATTTCACCCCCTGGGATGGTGTCACTCGGTGTGGTCCGGACCCAGTGCAGCCCCTTAGTGACGCCATCAGCCCTCTGGATTTGGACTTTCTCAATAATAATTTACTTTTTAATAAAAAGTAAGAGATGTAGACAACAACTCGTAATCACATCAATAGTTTGCAAAGGTCTCAAAATATTGTTTTTAATTACGTGGCCAACTTGTGCCAATATTCAGCTCAATGCTACCAAAACCTGGTGTAACAACTTCTCTACTTTACATTTTAATTCCGTACTAGGTCTGCTATTCAAAATTAAATCTGTTTAATCATTTATGTTCGGTACGTGAATGGAATGGTGTAGTTAAGTGTAGTAAATAGAATGTAAAGTTTTACTTTTTCACCCCCCCCCCCACACACACACACACACACTTTCCCATCAGTACTTGGAGGCGGATGATCTGCTATTCAAAATTAAATCTGTTTAATCATTTATGTTCGGTACGTGAATGGAATGGTGTAGTTAAGTGTAGTAAATAGAATGTAAAGTTTTACTTTTTCACCCCCCCCCCCCCACACACACACACACACTTTCCCATCAGTACTTGGAGGCGGATGATATTGCTAACCTGATACTGACTGTCTTAGCGCAGCCCAACCATGTGCAGGTATGTGCGACACAAAAGTACAATCATTTTTTTAAAATAAAAAGTACCAATATGTCTACTTTGCAAAAATGAACCCTGGGCCCACGGATACAGTTTAATCATTTTTATCGTTGATCGGCCATCTTTTGAAAACATGGGTTAGGGCGCAACAGGTTGCCGCTGGTAGTAGGGTGTTCTTAATATTCAAACACGTGATCGTCATCATTGAATGGTCAAGTGCATGCTTCTGGACATATGGCCATGTTAATCAAATGATCATTCCATTCAACAAACTTTGTCACCATTCCTGATGTTGGCCTTCTATCAGCAGGCGTTGGTGCCGTCTCGTTTTGCCACAGGCAGGTGTGGAAATTTGCCCGAAAATCTCTACCAGAAATCAGTTTCTGGCAAATCTATTTATTTCTATAAAAATTGCCATAGTGTTCAGCTTCATTTATTTCAAGCAGAACTGCACGATCATTTTTGATTAATTGTGGACGTTATAAATGATTTAATTCATCACATTTAAGATCAATGGCCCAGCCTGGAAATTTCTATTTTTAATTAAACACAAGGTGGTGGTCATTAAGTGACGCCACCAGTACTTATTTTCTTAGAATTAATGATTCTTCCTTGGATTTTAATCCCGAGAAGATTTTGAGGTCTCTTCAGTTAAGATCTTTCCATAGCCCACTAGCTTCACATCATGTCTCTTCAGTTAAGATCTTTCCATAGCCCACTAGCTTCACATCATGTCTCTTCAGTTAAGATCTTTCCATAGCCCACTAGCTTCACAACATAATCATTTTTGCAACTGACTTGTACTTTTGGAAAATGAGAATGGAAGGAATTATCTCAAATAATAAATTTTCGCAAGATATATGTTGAATATTGAATACAAATATTCCTTCCAAACATTTCTATTGCTGATGCTATTTGGTTGCACCAAGTTTTATGTATATTTGATGATGAGCTTATTTATAATTTCAGATTCACGACATTCTTGTAAGATCAACCGAACAGATTCCTTAAACTTAATGCCACTAACCTAATGATGAAAAATGAGTTTCAACAATTTTCAATAAAGAAAAGGAAAAAACAAACACAATTTGTTATAGTTTGTACTGTAGACATTTTTTTTTCATCATTTATTTTTTAGTTTTAAAAGATTTGTTTTGCACCTCACCAACACCCATTAGCAAGCAGCAATAGTCCCCATAGTCACCTTATATACAAAAAATGGAAAAAAAAAAGACTCCAGTGACCACTACTTGCATACTAACAGGCGAGACAAGCAGTACAAAAATAAAGACATCATTTAGCTGTATGTGCACCAGAACTTTTAAGATCCATATGCTCTTTCCTATGCACAAACTCTTCCCCTTCATACAACAGAGCTCCCGACTCAACATCACCTATTCTCTCAATCCTTTCGTACGTTCTTTTAACTATACCTTGTTTACTTGTGTATAAACAACATTTTAAAAAAACAACAACCAAAACTATATTTAATTATCAGTTTAGATAACTCTTAAAGATGATTAATGCTTGCACAAATAAAAAATTAAAGATTAAAAAAAAAAAAAGTTGTGAACTTGGGCCTGCCAAAGCTTCCAACATTCCACTTCAGAAACAATTTTTAAGTACATTTACTCTGAATTAGAATAATTTGGTTGTTATTCAACCTGAAATGATAATAAATGACCACTATTGAAATGCATGGATATACACAAGTATGCAGGGGACAGGAAACACACATACACATCTTTATGTACAGTAAACCCTCCTTTGACCAACAGCACACTATACATCACAGCAGCACACACAGCAAGCATGACCACACAAGACCAGTTTTCATGCATTCTCCAGCGAGCACAACAATCACGATCCTCATTACTGTTAACAAGAAAAAAAAAGAAAAAGAACCAACCAACCCACACAACACAACAGGACATGTGCTGACCTGCCATCCTGCAGATATGTCAAATATGATGGGTAAACATGATGGAACATGAACTAAGCAAGGGAAGGGGAGCGACAACGGTTGGCCAACATTATTCTGAAATGCTTGTGAAATTTAACTTATAAATGGACGCCTGTCACACCCAATGCCATAAAGCAGAAATTCTTTTGATTAAAGAGAGTTTTCTGAAGAGTTGATCCTTACCTAGATCAGCCTAACTCAGGTTAAAAAGCTTGAATCTCATTTCAAATTTCAGATCAGGCTTTAAACGAAGGGTGTTTCAAATTTTTCTTGTTGCTTCTGTTACAAACCAGAGAGCGTGGAGCTTTTGACTTTGGAATGCTATTTTTTAATGGATGCGAATACATTTTTTGAAAATACTGCTGATAACTGAAAACAAGCTAAAAAAACAAAAAATAAGCCTAGGCTTTTGGGAGTCAGGCACAGAGGCAAATGGTGCACCATCACTTTGCTTCCTTATCACAAGGCCAGAGAAGGAAGGACAAGGATCTTATTGTTATGGAGAATTTTGACACATATTCACAAAGTTTGTGCCTTAAACTACCATCATAAGCCAAGTATGCTATTGAATACCGGTACTTCAGGAATATCTACTTTATGGAACTTTTAAAACAATTTTGTTTTTAAGACCTTTTTTTGGAAAAAAAAGAGTAAAAATTGTAACTTTAGCTTAGAATAAAGTTTGTATTTGAAAAAATATATGAAATGATTTAACAGTTGAAGCAAGGGCTGGTAGTTTGTCAAGAATTTCTAAAGAAAAAAAACTGAACAAAACCTTAGTTTTTTTATGTCTAGATCTTTACCACAAAAGTAATTCAGTCTTCAATAAGCCCATTGCTCCTACATAACCAGCCGAAAGACATGGTATGATTACAAAAATAACAGTATACAAAAATATTGCATTGTAAACCATTTTGAACTTTAGCGGAAATTTATGGTGCAACAGGCTAAAGAATCTGAGTGCTCTTTTTAATGTGGTAGTAAAAAATACGCCCCCTTCAAAATAATCTCGACAAAAATTAATTTTAACAATAACCAGATCACAGCTAATCCTTATACTCCGTGAAAATACGATTGCACAGCCAGCGAAGAGGGATTACAGGTGTCTTTCATTCTTAACACTATTATGGGGTTGATTTCCAATGCCATGAGATCTCTTACTTTGCCTGGCCTCAGACATGCTATGGTCCGTAGTGAGTTGGCTGAGAGGCTTGCTTTAATTTACCAGTAACTTGTTGAGGAAGCTAAGTGTTTGTTAAATGCTGGGTTTTATGTACACCGTGGGTTAGAAAACTTTGTTCTTTGGACGGCCCCACTGAAACTGCAGGTGGATAACAGCTAGTCAGCTCCATTTCCTGTGATGCCATGCAGGTCGTTCATGAGAGAGAGGATGAGAGATGTGAGTAGCACTCGCACACGTTTGAGATCCATTTAGCTGCAAAGCTGAATACTTGTAAGTGTAGTTGTCATGTGGGATCAAAACGGTTTTGCATGACAGTGCCTGGATTGTTTTCCTGCAGTTATAGCCCCCTTTTTTATCACAAGCTCTGATGTAAGACGAAAGTGATGGACAGAGTAATGGACTCAACAGATTGGTACACTCAACTAGTTCAAGTCTCTATCTTCCAAATATCTATACTCAAATGTAAAACCCTCTTTCTTCTTTTGGCCCCACTTCTCATAGTCAAAGTAGATATATGTGCCCTGGGGAGAGTCAAGAAAATAACATTTAAAAATTGAGTCAACACATTTCTTACCTTTACTTCACGGTTTTGATTAAATCCCATTTTTCAGCTGTTATTTATAAAATAATAATTTTTCATATTAAAGGATTAATAAATTTACAAAACGTTATTGATAACAAGTTATTCATATAAGATTAAGCTACTTACACTGTAAGGGGAATTTAAAGCCAAACTATTTTAGCATGATTTGTAATAAAACTGTTATATTTCATTGTCTTTTTTTTTTTTTTTTAAATTAACCCACGAACTGTGGTTGGCTGAAAAAATCGGCCGACTTTCTCGTTCTGTACAGTGGCGGCCAAAAAATCGGCCAATAAAAAACACTGCCAAATAGCAACTTCAAATCCAATATTTAACTTTATTCATATAAGATTAATCTACTTACACTGTAAGGGGAATTTAAAGCCAAATTATTTTAGCATTATTTGTAATAAAACTGTTATATTTCATTGTCTTTTTTTTTTTTCTAAATTAACCCACGAACTGTGGTTGGCTGAAAAAATCGGCCGACTTTCTCGTTCTGTACAGTGGCGGCCAAAAAATCGGCCAATAAAAAACACTGCCCAATAGCAACTTCCAATCCAATATTTAACCGGAATTATAGCCACATCCTTTTATTAATAATTAAATCATCTTCCGGTTCAAGCTGTTTCGTGATAACTTGAAAATAAATACTTTTTAATCAGAGTTTTATATCGCTGTTTTTTTAAAAGCTAAAATGGTTAAAGCCATGGCTGGGCCTTCAAGGCAAGAACTAATAGAAATATGTTTGAAAGCTTTTTAGGAGATGTTTTAAGTGATACTGATGATGATTTTAACATTCCCCATGACGATATCAGTTAAGATTATACTTCTCGTGAATTTTATACTAGTCTTAGTGATACTGAAGTAGGCCTACTGAGGCTGCTGTCAGACTTCAAGCCAGGCCCGGAGGTTGGACAAGGAGTGACTGAATTTTAGTCACAGAAGCTACAGATTATAGTTCAGAACTAATAAATTTTATAGTTAAACAACCCAAATCAGTTCCACAGTTCCTTTTTAAATGTTATAGTAAAAAATAACTATTTTGCCTGAGATTTCGTATTTTGTACTTGGTTTTAGCAGTGGTACCCGTTTCTTATAAAAATGACCTAAAATTACTATTATTGCTTTCAGAGGTTTAATTGCAATCAAAACCTTAGCAAACTATACATTTTCTTAAAGATAAATGAATTGGTTACAAAATTTAGATTTGTGTTTTAAGTGTATCTATAAAAATTAATGATGTTATGAGCACTTGAAAGCAAGACATTTGGTCAATTTTTTTTCCTTGAGAACTCCAAGGTCAAGGACACTGAGCAAAATTTCTTTACGGGGTGGGCAATATGGTCAACTTTATCCCCACCCATTTACCTTTCTAAAAATAGATACTTATAGGGGTCTTGTATCAATATTTCTATGTCATTTAATGCAATTTCAAATGGCACTCAAAACACTCTGAAAAGCTCCCCACCACAGAATGATGCATGCCACAGTTTGTGGGTTAAGAGTCCATTAAATGTGAATAATCAGTGGAAAACAGCATCAAAGGGCTATAAATACTGCAAATTTTGTATATTTCAGAAATATTTTATATACTATTAAATATGTAAGTCAACTATTCAATGTAACAACCTCTTTTTCAAATGTGTACTTTGGCCAAGCAAAAGAAAACAATTTCATTTTTGGCTTTAGTTCTTTGAGAAAAATGAAGGGGGATCATATTTAACAATCACATCATTTAATATACCATAGGACTCAAAAGAAATAAATTCAAAAAACATTTAATTTTTTAAAAATATTCCATTATATTAGAAAATGAAAACTTGCACCAAAATATTTTTTTTTTTACAAAATTAATTTAAGCTGTCTGCCGAACAAGCTTGACATTAATTTTATTTAATTGTTAGGCATCAATTTCTGTTTTTTGTACATGAACCACTTAGTACCTTACATTGTTCCCGGTTATACAAGGGAGTTTTAAAAAAAGATGTGCATCACAAAACATTGTGGTATAGTTAATTTTTAGATGATTTTGTAAAAATTGTACAGCATCTATGGGCTAGAGAACATCCAGTGAAATTTGTAAAATGTTTTACCAGTATAAATAAAAAAAGTGTAAGCCTATCATAGATGTTAACTATCAATTTGATAAAATAAAATATTATTCAGACAGTTGAACAGTTGGTTACCATTTCAAACTCTTCAGTAATTTGCTTTGGCTCTTCATGTCGCTGAAACCACATCATATATTTTGTATGAAACCTCCAGGACTGTTTCTTCAATGCTTTTGCTGCCAAGTATTGAGCTTTTGTTCCCTGAAATAAAATTAAAAGAAAAAAATATGGCTTGTACTTTATTTAACCCACGAACTGTGGCATAGATCATTTTGTAGTTTGGCAGCTTTTCAGAGCTTTTTGAGTGCCTTTAGAGTAGCATTAAATGACAGAAATATTGATACAAGACTCCCATAAGTATATATTTTTAGAAAGGTAAATGGTGGGGATAAAATTGGGTATATTGCCCACAGTAAAAAAAAATTTTTTTTCAGTGTCCTTGACCTTGGAGTGCTCAAGAAACAAAAAATTGACTAGGCTGCGGTTATTCAGATCAGGGCCCAAGAAGTGAGAGTTTGGGTTTATTAAAAATTATTTTAAAATTATTGTAGGGTTTGTAAGACAGAATTTGGAATCAAATGAAAGATAATTGAATGGACTATATGTTTGTAAGACAGTACTTCATTATCACTAAGACTAGTATCAGATTCACTAGAAGAAGAATCTGAACTGAGATCGTCAATGGCATTGTTGAAATCATCATCACTATCACTTAATTCCTCTCTAAAAAGCTTTAAAAAATATTTACATCAGTTCTCGTGCTGAAGGCCCAGCCATAGCTTCAGCCATTTTATCTTTAAAAAAAAACAGTGATATAAAATTTCCATTAAAAAGTGCCTATTGTTAAGTTATCAACAAACAGCTTGACCCGGAAGATGATTTAATTATTAATAAAGGAAGTGGCTATAATTCCGGTTAAATATTGGATTGGGAGTTGCTATCGGACTGTGTTTTTTATCGGTCAATTTTTTCTGCCCACATAGTACAGAACGAGAACATCAGCAGAATTTTTTGGCTGACCACAGTTCATGGGTTAAAATTCAGTACCAGCATAACAATTTCCTATGCAATAGAGCTCAGATCTTTAAATATCTATCATTAACCAGTTTAAAAAAATATACAAACCTCCATATAATAAAATATGAAGAAAAGCGTTTCTGTGCCACACCGCTGATAAAACTCAACAGTATCTGCATGAGGAAATGAAGCTGACGGGTAGTAGGATGCCGTCAAACATGGATTGCGGGGCAAGAAGTGTCTGCAAATAATTGAAGAAAAATTAAAATAGTGGTAAATTATCAACACCATTTCATGAAATATTTTCTACTTCCCAAGAGAAAATCTTTATAATAAAATAATGTAGTTCTAATGTAATAATCAGTACCTAACATTTTATGTTTACTGTGCACAACACATTGCTTACTACATTGTGTTGAGTCTGTTTTTATTAATGCAGTTATCAATAATTAGTTACTTCATATAAACCAGTGAGCTTTAAAAAAATTGATTTAAAAAGGTAGAATAAAAAAGCTACAAGTTAACATAAATACCTCATTCGTTCAGAGTCTGAGGGGTGTGGAAGATGGTGGAAAGCTGCTTCCACCATTGCTGATTGATAGTGCTGTTCTTTAGCGAGCTGGACTGGGCCGAGTGGTGCCATACCTAATAAAGGATTCAGGTGGATAGTATTTGTCAGTGGGGCTTGAGGCATTTGCTGCTGCTGCGGCAATTGCGTTGAAAGCTGCTGTTCCGACAAACTAACTGAACACTGCTCAGATGATAGTGGAGTGATGGGCTGTGAAGGAGCTTGTGATGAATTATTATACACACCTGAAATATAATTTTGTCAAACGTTAAATATAAATACACATGACGACAACTTTTTATCAATTTTAAAAAAAAAAATAGAAAAAAGATTGTTTAAATGCTTTAGGCATACAATATTTATCTCAAAGATTTTTGTTATAATGTAACAAATCAATCATAACTCATTGAGAAATACTTACTAGAGGATTCAACAGGTGTATGAGATGAAGGCAGTGTTTTTTCCAATTCACTATTTGCAATCGCTTGCTGGGCCATGGTACGCAAAGAGAGCTCATCATTCTGAAAAACAATGAAAATCTATTTCAAAAAGAATTTTGAGGGCATAAACAAGTTTAAAATTGGGATATTCAAAGTTAGATTTTACCTTGATTCACAATCAAACCATAATATTTAGCCGGGGCACCGCACTTCACCAATATTTTTCTAAATAATGGATTGTCAAAGAATTTTAATCACTATAGTGTGTAGTTAATAAAAAAAAACGGTTAAAAATAATTTCTGAAGATCAAGACTCTGTCAGAAATGGACAGCAACAACTTACTGCTACGATTATGCTCTATTACAATGAATATACAGCTATCCATAGGGCTGTAACAAATATTTACTTCATACTTGCTTTGGAGATTAGGAGTGACTTTTAGTTTGATATTATTTATCTGAATCCTTGGTGGAAAACCTTTTTCTAAATTTCGCAACTGTTGCATATAAATCATGAAATACTACTAATACAAGAAATTAATTGAAGAAATAAGCTATTAAATCATATTTTTACCAAATATAGGCAATTAAGTTGCCCACCCCAGACTAAGATCCATATATTTTGCCAATATTAGTTGCAATAAAGAATTTATTTTCCATTCATTCTTAGTTTAAGTTGCAGAAATATGACCAAGACATACTTTTTTTCAATAGCTGTATTTCTGAAATTGGTTTTTAAAATTAATCAATACGAAGACATCAGGATTAAAGATGAGCATAAATAAATTATAGTCTTATCAAGCCCCAAAATTTAATAATATTAGGAATAGTAAAAACCGATTAAATGCTAGAGCCCTTGATGACTATACAACCAGACTATATGGTATGAAAAAAAGCTGAACCAATGAACTGAAATTATATTTAAACTTTAACCCAGTAACACACCAGATTCGTAACATTCAATTAAATGACTGGGGTTTTCCGGATTTTAAAAATTAATTATGAGGGAAAGGAGGAAGAGGAAAGGGGGGAAAGAAGCACTAGACTTGAGCCAAGATCAGCAAAAGTAGAGATATAACATCACTTTCTTAAGCTCAACAAATTTTAAATTGAAAGCTCCTAGCTGGACAGTTGAAAAAATAAAAAAGAACATGACATATCATCTTAACACATGTTCTCCTTCAGCTTGTAAAACAGCATTAAGTAAAGGAAACAGGGTTGATTTGATTTAAAACATAATTTTAATTTATATTTATCTATCTAATTAACTATTTATATTTAAAGGCACTTGCTAAAAATAAATTTTGTTTGTTTTTATGTATTTATTAGTCAAATAATATATTATTTCTTAATATCTAATTGTGATAGCAAAATTTATAATAATAAATTTCATTTATATTCGATTAAATTTTTTTTTCTATTTAAATTATTTATTCAGAAGGCTTTGTTGGAATCAAATGTCACTGACAAATTACAATATTATGACATTGATATTGATCATATAAAAGTGTGAAACTGAATTGAATTTCTTTTATTTATATTTATATATATATATATATATATATATATATATATATATATATATATATATATATATATATATATATGAGACTATGGTATTGAGACTCTATCATGACTATCCATTATAAGTTTTAAAACCATTTTTCTTTAGTTATTTATTTGATAATTTCATAATCATTTTTATTAGAATATAATGAGAATTTCAGTTATAAAAAAAAGTATGAAAATCCTTTCAATTAGATTTAATTTAGATTTTATTAATTTTTCTTATATTATTTTACAATGAACGGATTTAAATAATATTAATAACATTAAGTTAATATAAATTATTCAATATAAATATTATTATATTACAAAATACTAACGAAATGATTTTTTTGTTTTTTTTTAACACAAAATAAAAAAACTTCAATTGAGAAAATCTGATTAAAACTTTTTTAAAATCCAATTTTATTTTAAAATTCAATTTATAATTAAAAAATTGTTAAGTACCATCAAGTGCATTAAAATTACATTACATTAGACTTCAAAATCTAAAGAAATTCTTTTTTAAAAAAATTAGAGGGGAAAAAATATAAATGATTTAAATCCAAGAAAAAGGCCAATTTAAATAAATTTAAAAAATGCAATTTAAATCCAAAAACTTGATTTAAAAGCTATTAACTAGATCTTTATAAACATTAATATGCTTTAAAAAAATAAATCCTTTTTAAAAAGATGGGAAAAAAATCAATTAAAAAATTAATAAATTAAATTAATCCGTTTTAAATCAATTTAATGTAATTTTGTTCAAATGAATATCAACCCTGAGAGGAAATAATCTAGAAGTTGAAACACACTATATTCGCAAACGCATTTACTGGTATTTAGCTTATTGCTAGTGTTAAGAATACACTAAGTCTAAAAAGATTTAATGAATTTGTGAATAATTTGTACTTAGCAAAGGTCACTATGAATGGATCAATAGACTTTAAGCATCAAATTTTAACACAAATGCTTTGAATGTAAGAGGTAACTGTAGTCAATTGTAACCTAGAATTTTTTTTATTACACTTGCAATTTTGTTCTTTTTATAACCAGAGATAGAAAAACAAGGTACCAAACCATGTTTGAGACAACTTTTTAGGTGCCTTGCAAACAGCATTTTAGTTACTCAGTGACATAACTTTATGTCAATGCAACTTAGGTGTTGCTAGCATTGCATCATATAAGAGTTAATGATAACTTTTCATAAGAATTTGTTGCATCAACTACATAGCTTTGTGGATCACAGCTGTAGTAATTTCTCAACTAAGCCACCAATGGTTTTGGCAAGAAAAATAAATGTAAATAGTTTGACTAGCCAAAAGAGTTTTAAGGAGTTAGTCACCTGCCTCACTGCGTCAGAATAGCATGTTAAGTTTTAATAGAAACCGCTTCATACCTCCCACATGAAGCTAACTAGGCTGGAGTCTCTTTGATTTTTTATCCTTACCACTGACAAAAAGGTCACTGATCGCCAACAACAGTCTTTTTCTTAGCCTTTCTCACTCCCAATGGAACATAGGCCATCCACAATACTTTTCCATCTGTCCATATCCTGGGCTATCTTTGTTAGTTCAGCCCAACTTAAATTCTTTCTCTTCACTTCTGCCTCTAAACGCCTCTTCCACGTGACTCTAGGTCTTTCTCTTTTTCTGGTACCTTAAGGATTCCAATGATGATAGTGTTTGGTTTCCTTAATGTGTGTACTATCCATCTCCCTTTTCTCTTTTGTATCTTATTTTCCCACTGGAACATTTGATGTTTTCTCCCAAAGGGCAGTGTTACAAATTTTCTCAAACCATCTTCTTTTGAGGATCCTTTGCAAGTATCTGTTTATAAAAACCTGAACTTTTTTAATGTTTGTTTTTGTTGTCTCCAAGTTTCACAGCCATACAGAAGAAGTGCATTGACATTTGAGTTAAATATTTTATACCTTGTTTTTGTCAGTATTTCACTAGAGTTCCAGATGTTTCGCAGGGCAATGAAACTGCCTTTTGGACCCTAGCCTTTATGTCATCATCTGTCCCTCCAATTTTTATTTATGATGCTTCTCTGGTATGTAAAAGTTTTAACTTCTTCAAGAGACGCTTCTCTCAAGTTAATCCAAATGACCCCATCATCCGATGTATTTATTCTTAAGGTCTTGGTTTTCTCTTTAAGTCCAACTTGCTGAGATTCAGAGTCAAGTTTTGTTGTTTTCACCTGAATTGGTCTAGATACTACAACTGTCTTAAATATGTCCACTGGATTCCATTTTCCCATCCAGTGTTGTTTCTCTCATAACGGAAAGAGGAATGGTGAGAGCAGGCATCCCTGTCGAACTCCAGATTCCATCATAAATGGGTTTGTAAATTTACCTACAACAACAGTCGCTGTTAAGGAATATACCTTTCATGGCATATATGCTGTAAGAAAGGGTGTTTTATCAAATAATTATAGTTAAAATACTACTGCCCTCATGTGTACTTCCATTTCTTACATTTTGTCTACTTTATGCTGGGTGATACAAATTCCAATGGGAAAAACCCCAGAATTCCAAGGGTTGAAAGATACAGACTTATTCCAGTTGTCAGAAGAAGAAAATCCACAATAAATACTGCATCCACAAAAATTTAGGGAGACAAAAAACAATAGATTTTAGATTTTGTTCCTCACATGAGCATTGTAAATAGGTCTCTTAAATAATAAAAATCAAATCCCCCAAGCTCAGCTATACCAGCCTGAAAACCATCAACACATTTGCTAATGAATCTAAATAATGACTGGGTTAACAGTCATTACCTTTAAGAATATGCAAGGCATAGCTCACGTGCATTTCACTTGAATTTTAAATACTTGTATTTGGGAATGTTATACAGGATCAGCCTCACTTTAAACAATTAAAGTGTGTAACCAGACTAAGTTGTGCACCAAATAAAACTCAAAGAAATTTCGCCTCAAGGTGTTGAAAACATCAACAACCAATCAAACAAATTCTTTTTTCAACTGTGAAAAAAGTCTTAATCAAAATGCAATAAATATATTAAATGTGCATTGCAAAAACAAAAAACACTGTAAAATGAACAGAATTATCATTTACCTTAACTTTTTGAAATGTTGGGCCATTTGTACTTATAGGCCCATTCATGACAGGTGTGCTGTCTGTCTGACTGTTATGGACCTGAGAGGAATTGTTGATACCTGACGAAGTCGAAGGGTTCACAGTACTGAGTGGTGGAGCAGCAGCAATTGTTACAGTTAAAGGTGATGGAGCCGATGGCACAGAGGGATTTCCAGATGAAGTCAAAGAGACAGAGTTTGTGTTTGTAGAACTGGACAAACTACCACTACTTGTTAAGCTTCCAGCTGCAGTATGGTCTATTGAATTCACATGAGGTTTTGATGAATCTGTAGCAAAACATATAAAACAATGAGAATTTCCATAAATTGTAAAAATATTTACACAAAACTGGATGACAATTAAGTGTTTAATCCAACAATAAATAATTTCAACTGAATTCAGTGTTATGTAAATGTATTAAAAAGGTATATACCATTCTTACAAAATATTAGACGAGAACAGCACTGCTAGTTTAAAAATTCAAAGAAATATGTCATCTAAGTTTTTTTTCTTTCTAAAATTTCATTTTTTTTATTTGTGAAGCAAGGTCATATAAATATAAATTCTGTATCCATGGGAGCAGAAATTTGAGGGGTAAAAACAACAATTAGCTAAAAAGGAGAGATTAAGTTAATTTTAAAAAAAATACTTAATTATTGGGGTTAAAAGTCACATTTTAACTTGAGACACAAAAAACTGAGTATTACTATAAATTATAGGACCCACAAAATAATTTTATCATTGAATTAGCTCTTTAAAATAGATTTACCAGCATAAAAAAAACCCTGGAATATCTTCATACTGAGACACTGCAAATGCTTACATTGATTAAATTAGTGTTCCGAAGATAGCATTATCATTCTAACATGAACCTGTCAATATTCATCTAACTAAGAATGCATCTAACTGTCTAATGGAAATTTAACCCCCCCCCCCCTCCTGGTATCGACCTACTTTTTTGCTATGTTTAGCCTCAGTACCGGCTATTATTTTGCAAATTATTCCCTGTGGCCCAGAATTATTTTGGTTACATTGATTAAATTAGTGTTCCGAAGATAGCATTATCATTCTAACATGAACCTGTCAATATTCATCTAACTAAGAATGCATCTAACTGTCTAATGGAAATTTAACCCCCCCCCCTCCTGGTATCGACCTACTTTTTTGCTATGTTTAGCCTCAGTACCGGCTATTATTTTGCAAATTATTCCCTGTGGCCCAGAATTATTTTGGAATGAGCCAAAGTTTGATAGGTTTGCAAATTATTTTCGAACTTTTTTGTTTTAAACAATTGATAATAACATGTAGAGAATTATCTGTTCAGAAATGGATAAGGATGTTAAAAATACTAATGTGTTTTGTTCAAACTTTTCATTGGCAATGTCACACAAGGGGATTATGTCGCTAGCACAGAGTCCAGTTGATCTTACTAAATCAATATTTACGTTGACACTAGTCTAAAACCTGTCAAACCTACAAGCTCCCATAGGCGTACATTTTGAGCTATAGTAGGCCTATTTTATTAATCAATTTCCTCTCCCTGCCCTCATCAGAATCATCTAATCCCAATTAACGCTCAATAATAAGTTTCAGAACAAAATGTTTCATCAAGTGGGCGTAAGTCATCACCAATTATAGCGGTACGTAGCGCCATGGAAACAACAAATACATATCAGCATAAAAAACCTCAGTAATGGGTTAATTTTCATAATTTAAAGTGCAAAATAAAATTTGGCTATTCCCCTAACAAATAAACATTCTGCCCGAGACTATGGTGAAATTTTATATCCTCGTTTTTGTGTGTATATTAGATACTCCTCTATGTGGCAAATAGACACGATTGGGCTACAGGTAAAAAAAAATCGGCTGGTGAAAAAAGACGTGCTTGGGCCACAGGGGAAAAAGTAGGTCACTGCAAAAAGATGCGCCAGGTACTGTAAGGGTTAAAAACTTATTCCAACCTAACAAAAATACAAAGCAAAATATATTTACATCTTTTGCAAATATTTTTTTAAACTGTAAATGTAATGGGGTGATTTTTTTTTCAAAATTATTTAATAGCATTCTTCCTATGAGCCTCTATTTCTACTTGCTTTTTTCAACAAAACAGGAAAATATAAAAAATTAAGAATTCTTTAAAATGTTTCAAATAAAGAAAAGACAATACAAACATAATCAACAGTACAATTCCCACTTTTCATTACACTCAATTTTGAAATAGTTTATATTTAAAATAAAAAATACAAATGTCAAGATGCAAATAAGACCAGGGGAAAAAAAAGATATTAAGCTTCCTAATATCCAATATAAAAGACATTTTTCTTAAAAATGAACATTCCAATCAATATCTAGCATACTGAACAGTTTAAAAAAATGTAACAAAAGCTGCTAGGGAACAAAATTACACATAATTCTCCTAACAAAATTACACATAATTCTCCTAACTCTAGTAATTGCAGAATAAATTTTGATGATATATTAGACACAATAAAAGTAGAGGGGTAATTTAAACATATGAACATTGATAGGGAAAATAGGGGCATTCAGGTAAGGAGCTTTTTGAACAGGTATTGTTTTAAATTATCGACATATGTAGGCACGAAATATAATGATTTCATCCTAAAGCATTTCTGTTCCGCAATTGATAAGTAATTTACTAGTAATTTTCCTCTTTTTCAGCTGAGTGAAGAAAAAACAACTTTTGTTTCTTTTTGGATAGACTTTAATGTCAAACTGGACCAATTTATTCAGGATGAAATAAGAGTAGAAAATTAAAACTAGAAGAAAAAATTAGAAAGAAACGGGGGAAAAAAAGAGCAAATTGTGATCCCAATATTATTGATCTCAAGTGACACTTTACAAGAAATATTTTAATGCTTAAAAATGTTTATTTTACTTAAAATTAAATATCTTTTAATTTGATTTTATTTAATATAGTAACAATCAAATATAAATTTGAAAGTTATTTCCTGATATCCTAGATTACAAAAACTTGTTTTAAAAATACTGCACATTGAGAACTAATTTCGATTCTTTTCTAGTTTAAAAACAATTCACTTATTGTTCATTCATAATTGCTCCATAAATTATAGATGGCAATTCATAAATGCTCCATATATTATAGATGAAAAACTTAAAACTTCATTTTTGCAGCTCAGAAAGCACTAAGATATTGTACCTTCATTAAGATAATTTGTATCCAGGGATATGAAAATAATGTTTAGAAACTCGTCCTCTCTACTGCCTAAACTGTTCCGTACCCAATGGGATTATATCGTCATAATTAGGGGTGTGCCGGATCCGTTTTTTCCAACCGGATCCGGATTTTCTTATGTGAAATCCGCCGGATCCGGATTCCGGTTTCTCCCGGATTCCGGAACTATTGGCCACTATTAGCGGTGCTGACTCTAGCCTCTGGTATGTTCGGAATATTAAACATTAAACAAGCTCAACGCTCGAAACAATCGATTAATGTATCGTGATCGTGTGGAATTCGGGAAAGAGAATTACTTTTATTTCAGATTATGATCCGGTGAGTCACAAAATCTGGCAAATTCCGAAATCCGGTATATTCCGGATTCCGGTTGTTCCGGATACATGTAAATCCGGCGGAACCGGATTTCACCGGATAGTGCAAAATCCGGCGGAACCGGATTCCGGCACACCCCTAGTCATTATATTTCAATTTTTAATAATATCCTCTTTCACTTGTGTTATCGTGCAAATGAAAATATTTTACCACACCATAAAACAAGTAATAACGTTTAGCCTCAGAAAAGTAAGTGTCTACTTTTAAAAGAATTTTTAAATTTTAAGGATATACTTTCTTCATTAGTATACTTTTATCTTTACCTAACTAACCTGTTTGTCTAAATTTCATGTGCTTATATATACTGTAAATAAAACTGACAATTGATTTTTTCACTTGCATAAACATCGATTCAAGCACATTAATCAAAGCATGTACAATTTCATTAACTGAAACTGAAAGAAAAATTGCCAACAAAAGACTAGGGTTGACTAAGACCAAAGTGTGAACATATCACTTTGTCTTCCAGTGACTTGTCATAAGATTACCTAATTTGTTGGCTTTTATTTTTAGACCCCTTGGAAGTCAAGATGTACTAAAATTTTAATAACATGGGGAAAGTTTTCTATTTTTAGGAGGCATAATAGACTTTGAAAATCATTTTGTCAGTGTAATTAAATCAGTTACAAAATTCTATAAATAGGCTTACTTTTAAAAGATTAATTTGCACAATAAAATGCACGATGGCAGAACACTCCCGGTTAATTTATCAACCCTAGCCTCAGCAAGGCAGTGCCATAACAAGTCATGTGGAGATATAGTTATGTCTTACCAATAGGAAAGCTAGTTTGGGCAGTTAAACTACGCTGCCACACAGAGGGTGGGTTTGGGTGAGAAAATCGAGGACCTATGAAAACATATAACAACTAAGTTACCCAATAAAATATAGAGCTAATTAAAAAAAAACTTTAACAAGCAGTAAATTATATGTTAAAATAAATGATGATCACAAAATGAGATTCAATCATTAAATTATAGTCAGATACTGAAAAAAATTAAGCTTACGGGAAGAATTTAATGGGTATTTAATTTTTTTTTCCAGTCTCATTTTGTAAAACATCAGAGATACAAAAACACAAGCTTGCAAAGAAAAATATGATTCATATTAACCATACAAAATGTTAATAATCACACCACAACCCTTACATGTCAAATAAAAGAATAGAAAGCCCTTCTTCTAATCAATACAGCCATTTCACTACATCCACAAACAAGAGACCTAACCCTCTTATTTAAACTTAAAAAAACACAACAGTTTAGTAATTCTGGTGACTAATGCATTTATTACAGTACTTTTTTAGTATGTAGAAAAAAAGAATCAGAAGACAACAAAAAAAAAAAATCTAAGCTCACTAAGGCAATTAACCCAAAATAAATGTTTTGAATATGCTTGACTAGCTTACAAATATAATTTTTTTTAAATAACCTGCAGTAATCTTAACTGTAATAAAATAATCTGAGTTTTAAACGACACACTCAAATTTGTTGTTAATGTTTTAAAGCTTAGAAAAATTAGGATGATATAACACAGCATTGGTCAATTTTTACTTTAATTTTTTTTTACTTTTAAATTATAACCACTGTGTTTTTAGAGCACATAAAAATTCACACCACTATTATAATTTAAAAAAAAAAAAATTGTTACAGCCTATACATCAGTGGGTTTAAAAAAAATCTATAAAATATATTGCTTGCGTTGTATAAAGCTTGAAAAACAATCACAGTTTTAAGTCAAAAGATAAAATTAAAAGATAAATAAGCAGTGAACAAAATAGCAAAGAATAAAATTTTCTAAAAAAAAAATAATAGTAAATAATATATATCAAGAACAAGCCTAGTGAGCTCATTCAATATCAGGTATTTTTCCTATTTCATTTTTGATAAAATTATATCACCAACCTTGCCTCACTTTCTAAAAATCGGATATTAAGGAAACTACGGAATATGGACCACAATGTAAAGACACAAATAAGACTTTATTTAGTAATAAATTAATACCTGGTGTGCTGTTCTGCTGCCCTCCTGCAGCAACAGCATAGGCTGTCAAAGGCGACGGAGTTGTCGATGGATGATGGTTGCTATTCACAGAGTTGCTATCTGAATTTTGTGCACTGGTATTGCTGAAAATTATTAAGTTCTTATTTAAAATAAAATTAAAAGTACTTAAGGGGGAAAAAAAAGTATATTTCCTTTAAAAAATACATATTTCTCTTAACATCATTTTCTAATACCAAGTAGATATTTTTAAATGGATCGTATTTGCTAAATGGTTTTGCTTTTAAAATATGCTTAAAATTAATTATATCTGCTCCAGGAAAAGAAGGTGTTGCTAGTTGTGGTTGGTTTCCTGCTACATGCAGTTGTTAAAATAGATTTTCATCAATGTTGACATTTGATTGTGTATTTTATGTGAAACAATAATGAATCCATGTCTCATCAAAACTGATTCTCATGGTGTGATGACGCCAATTACTTTTTAAAATCACTCATATATTTAATTTAAAAAGAAAAAAACAACCTTTAGTTGCCAACAAGATGGAGGTCATAGAATCCTGTGCTTAAGTATGTCAAAAACTCAAATTTAGGAACTTTTGCGTTAAAAATCCTTGTTTGGGTCATTTGGGTTTCTTGTGTAATACTGGCGCTCCACAATAAAATAAGATCTAGTCTTGTGGGAGGTAAACTTTTCTTATGTATAAGCCATTCTAATTAATAGCAAATAAGGTATGGTAGAGGAGATGATAAATCATCTTACTTTTGTGAATGTTGTTTTACCAAAGACTGAGGTTTAGAAATTCCTGACGGTGCCGGAGAAGCACTTTTCTGCTGACAATAAATAAAGTCTTAAAAATAAATATATATTATACAAATAAACATTTATAAAGCACATTTTAAATTAAATAAAAACACTTTTGATTTTTAGTAATTATAAATTTTAAACAAAAAACTTCCTATTTTTTTTTAAATTTATAGAACAAAGATTTAAAGATTTATTTACCTCTTCCGATTGAGATTTATGTCGTTTTCTATCCATATCATCATGCTTTTCCTGTAAAGTATTTTCAAACAATAAATTTAAATAAAAATTATTCATGTCTCGTGTTTCATAAATGTAAAGCAAACAAACAAAATATTAAAAAAAACATGTACACCTTCAACACTTTGGGACAGGCCTAAATATGCAAGTTTTATCTATAATTCTGCCAGATGGGGTACAAATCATCTATCAATACAATCTTTCAATCTTTTCTTACCAAATATAAATAATGAATATTTCTATAGCTGTCACCTACATTGGAATGATTGGCATTTACACTGGGACTAGGTGAAGGAGAACTTGAGTTTGTTGATGACGGTGTACTCACTACTTTGTCCATGAATTCATCACCTTCTATTGGTGATGATGCTATTGCTGGTGCATCTGCTGCTTGGTAGGAACAAATATGTATCATTACAGTGAACCTGATAAATAATCTAGCATGAAGAGTCTATAAGAATTCTCTGTTAAAATGGAAAGCTTTGCCAGTTTTTATGCTTACTGCCCTTTTTAACATTTTACCAGATTAAAATATCTGCAACAAAACAACTCTAAATACAGATCAGGTGACTAAAAAACAACCTAAAGAAATGACAAGCCCTGTGATCAAAATATTTTAACAACAGCATTGTAATTTACACAATATAATAAGGTGGAACTGTCTCTATCACCAATGCCCAATAATTTTTTTTCAAACTTACATTTATTTTGAATTGAGAAACAATCAAATTATGTTTAATATATTAGATATAAAGCAAGTAGACACCATAGCAAAACCTTTGCTGATTGAACCAGTTCGTTTGAGATATTATTAATCGCCAATTGAACTATTGAATAGTTAGATGAAACAATAGCCAGATCTGAAGCAGCTCAATAATTAACGAATTACAACATACTGACTGCATTAAATTGGGACACACATGCCTTCTATGCAAGTCCTTGCTTTGAGTCACCAGAATGTAAAGTATTATAAAATGTGATGATCAAGTTATGAATTGGGAAAAATGGTTGGAAAAAAACAGGGTGGTTTGTTGCAAAGGCACCTGAATTTTCTAAATTCACTTCTATACAAAATATGAGTTTGGACTATCCCTTACTTTAAATTTAAAACAAAAGCAACATTAGCTCACCGTCTGCAGCAACTATCCCCTGCTCGCGGTGCAATAGATTATTCCGAGCACGGATCGGTCTAGCAAGCCACCTACGAGCTCACCGTAACACACCCTCCCCCTAACCGGATGACTCTATGGTCCTAGACGATTTCGACGGACAAACAACAACTTTAGATAATCAAATAATTTAAGATTTTTCATTATGCGTCATTATAAACTTTTATAGATTAAGTGAAACCACTTGAAGCAAGTATCTGATTAAAACCCTCTCTACAACATTGTTAAGAATCTCATTGTACTTACTGCTGAAAAAAAAAGTACTTACTACCAATTTCTTCCAGATCTAATTCATCATAAAGGTATAAATTTTCATTAAAATCAGACTCTAGATTAGACTCTACATAATACTCTATATCTTCTCGGAGTTCTTTGATCTGAAATTAAAAAACAAATATAAAGTATGTTTACTACGCAGGGCACTTACTTTTTTCTAAACAATTTCTTTGTAAATATTTTTTTTCTCTATCTTGTTTTATAACAGTAATTTTTGTTTTATTTCATGACTTTAGTTTAATTTCATGAACTCTAAATTACAACAAAATTTTGTTTACCTTATCAACAGGTAATTTGTCATTGTCGACTTGTCTCATTATTTTCTCTAATGTTTCTATGTGAAATTTATGCCTTTCTTGTTGCTGTTTTAATTGGTCTATTCTTGGATCCTAGAAATAATATGATGCAAACAATTTAAATTACACATTATGTCAACAATGGCAAAATTAGTATAATATTTGAGTATAACTAAAAATAAGGATTGGATCAAAACTGTTTAAAAAAGTGAATTTAAAATAGTTATTTTTCAGAACAAAGGATTTATTTATAAGCAGGGCAAAAAGTTACTTCAGCTATGAAAGAGTATTTAAATTCAAGCTAGGAATTCAACTATTAGCAATTAATTTCATTACAATATTAATACCACTGTAATTTTAATCCGTTTGATACCTCTATCACAGAGCTCTGCAACCGGTGTGCTGCGACACACTGGTGTGCTGCAAGATGCTGCCAGGTGTGCCGCAGCATCAGGGTTCCAAGAGGAAGCAAACCACAGAGTTTATTATGAGCTACTCTTTTTAATACAATGATTAGCTTATTACCAAACTGTTACAATTATTCAGTCAAATATCACAGAATGTGTAAATGCCCAAAGAGCCACTGGATCCGAATGATAAAGATGCACATACCAATTTGGTGAACTAAATTTCCGCTCAAAAATGCCCTTTTCACTACCGTTATTTAAAATAAACATTTTCACTAACAAAGGTGAACATAATTTTCAGCTACTTTTAATTCAAGAATAATTCATAAATGATGATTTAATCATATGTAAAATGACACACTACTAATGCTGCTTTCATTAAGAATCAATAGTCTAAAAAAAATATTTAACACACACCCCCCATTCAAAGGAATTTGTTGGAATTAAGGTACATTGAACTTTAACGTCACTGAAATTTAAAAAAAGATCTTGGTAGAATGAGTGAACTTCAAGTAGCTTCATCTGATATTAGATCAAATAATAAACATCTATGATCCGCAAAACATGTTCATACCAAAAGTTTCCAATATTTTTTTAATGTTTTTACTTTCTGGGCAGGGCCTAGGGGTGCCATAAGAGGAAAAATGTTGTGGAGCTCTTACTTAACATATATCAACTGGCCTTTTAACGGAAATAAAATTTAAAAAATGTACGAAGTGAATAGCATCATTGAAAAAATTGTTTCACAAATACAACAGTGAAAATTATCGAAGCTTTATTCCTTCTATTTTATATTTTTTGTGGGAGCGCTTGCAACAATGAAAATATGTGGTCACTGTAGCTGATCCAATTTAATAAAACACTTCTTTGATGAATTATAATCTAGTCGTGACAGTATTTTTGTTCTTTTGATAAGTTTTGCTGGTATAATGACAGAGTATATCAAAAAGACAACTCGGGCTGGCGCCTTGCTGTCAAAGAGGGAGGGAGTTAAACAAGCCAGGATGGGACAAAATGCAAAAAAGCTGGACATAGAATCCAGCAGAAAGGCCACTTGCAGAAAGTGTAACAAGGACTGCCACTCCATGATCATATTATTAACAGCAAAAACATTTTCTCTCGGCCATTAAATTTTCAAAAAATATATTACAACATTTATTTGCTCCCACAAATAAGCAAGAAGTATTCTAAATTCTTTCAGTTATTTATTCACTACATGGTATACCTGTAATGAATATTCTTATTCTCCTTCAGATCACAAAAAAGATATGATGTATACTTACTTCACCTGCCTTGCCTTTTTTCTTACTAGAAGAACCTTTAGATTCTAGTTCGCTCTCAAATTGATCAAGCTGCACATTTAGGTTCTCAATTGCATTCTGAAATTAAACAAATAATTCATACTTTTGTCATAAAGATCCTTTAATAAATGTAAAACACCTACAGAGTTACCAAGAGTTAAGGCAGGGTTAATATAATATACTAATTCATTGTAAAAATAATATTTAGTTGGGACGTTAACATAGGTTGTTTTTTTCGCTAAACCAATGATCAGTTTCAGAAATTGGCCTTTATAGAAATGTAGAAGAACTTGTTTAACAGATTGGTGAAGATTGAAAAAGTTTTATAGGAAAATGGGTGTCAACAACACCATATTTTCAATTTTTTTATGTGGCTTATAAATATATTTCAGTTTAAAATGCTTTTTATTTTTTTTTGGTGGTATTGAAAAATTGTTTGCTTTTGATTAGAACTTAAAGTTATATAATAAAATGCAACCTATATAGAAAGAATTATTTTATTGAAAGTGTCTCATTGAAATTATCACATAAATGTTCCCTTTTTAACAGTAATTACATTTTTTGAGGGCTATGAAATTCTTTAATATTAAATCACTAGATTACAACAAAATTATTTCACAAGTAGCAAATTATTTTTATTTAATTATGATGATATTAATTCATTGTCAATAGTCAGTGTTGAAATAAAGAGAAATTCAGAATTCTGAGTTAATGGTAAGATCATTCAATGCAATCTAATTCGATACTATACCAGATAAATATTAGGCCTACTATTTTAAAAATTCTTCTATTTTAAAGATCTAATTGAAAGCCATACCGATAACCAAAGGGTGGCTTCTGCTTTCTCTTTAGCGAGTGGGTCCAGCTTTGCAGCTGCGCCTAGTCCATCTTTGGAGTATGCTTTTGTTTTTGTTTCACGTTCCACTACCTTGAACCGCTCCATTTGCTGAATTGAAAGTAATTATGTAAATAGACTTCGTTAAATATTTCAGAACTTTTTAGCAACGAAGACATAAATTTTTAAATTGATAATTAAAATGTCTTAACAGAAAGAATATATAATTATACCATTACTATTTAAAAATATTAAAGGAAAGCTAAAAAAAAGCCTACCGTTTCTATTAATTTGCGGTGATCCATGAGCGAGGATTTGTCTTTTATGTCGCTGTTGGCAATCCATGATTTAATCTGATCTCTGAGTCGCTTGAAATTTAGAATAAAATGAAAAATTAATATTAAAGTAACAACATTTACTTTTCTACAGTCCTAAATAACTTGTGTTTCAGATGTTTGATATACATCTTATTTAAAAGAATTTGAATCAATACAATTAAAATTATCAGTTGTTTATTTTTGAAAAAGTTCAAAATCTTAGACAATCTGAAAACAGTACAAACACAAAAACCTGCCAGAAGAACTTAAATACTACATGTAGTCAGTTCAAATTTGAGTGTATTATAAGAATTATACTTACTTGGAGTTTTTTTATCTCCTTCTTTAGATCAGTTTCAAATTTTTCCTTTTGATTACTATTTGTAGCAGTTTGAACCTGCAAAATGGGTCGCTAAATGTAAGGAAAGTTTTATTAAACAAACAAGCATTTATAAAGTGTTTGAATGAAATGTGAGTGATAAAACACGTTAAATAGGAAGTTTTTGTGTCAAAATTCAACACTTGTCAACACACGTTTTAATGATTTACTTTAAACTTAAAAATTACAAACACTTTATAGAAAGAGAATCTTATTTTAGATTGAAGTCAAAGAGCAAAACTGCCCAAAAAATACTGATAATTTAAAGTACCATAGACAACTTGAAAAAGATCAAACGTAATAGTTTAAATAAAATTTTATAATTAAACTTTTATTTCAAAGCTATTAATAATTTATTTTTCAAAAAAATATTTATTTTTAAATATTGGTGGAAATTTTAAAACAAATTAAGTAATGAGCATGGTCACACTTACTCTCAAAAGACATAATTATTTTAAGATAAATAATGATCATTACCAAAATGAAATAATGCAAACTATTATTTGAACATAGGTGAGTGAATTTTAATAAGTGACTCATCTAATTTAAGTTCATGCTAAGTGATCATTATATCATAGAAAAAAGGAGACATGAGCACTAAATATGATATGCATGACTACATTTTAAAAAACACAAATAAATTTATGGTTAATAAAAGGCTTATTAATTAGAACACCACAGAAATGACAGAATTTATGATTAATATGAAAAAAAAGTTATATTTTTTTTAAGTGTTGTCCTTGTTAAAAATATAAAAGAAATTTAGGTATACACAAACCTTCTTCCAAATATCCTCAAAAGTTTCAACACCTTCGTCTACTTTCTTTAGACATCTATCAATCTCTCCTGTTAAAAAAAAAAATATTTCAAGGATAAAATCTTACAATAAACATGCATAACTTTTTCCAATAGATAGATGAGGGGATGATGAAATTTTTAATAAGGATCACAACAGGATGGAGTGATTTATATTTTGAATCCACCATTTTATATTTTTATGTTAAAAATATGTTTAAATGAATTTCTTATTACTAGAAGAATTATAAAATGTTAAGTAATAATTAGGGTTGCACAGATTAATAAGCAGATAATCCATGATCTGCCATTTTGCTCATTAAACAAAATTGCCTTTTTTTCATATTGACTAATCATCTTTTGGATACACTGTATAAGAAAATCCTCTCCAGATGTTAGTTGTAATAGGAAATGCTTTTAAACAAAAAACTTAAATATTTTTTACCAACGAAGAGATAAGCTAATCTTTAAAAAAAAAAATGGCGTAAGTTTTTGTTTTCTTTGACCTGGGTAGTGTTTACAAAGACGCAGAATATACATTTTGAAAAAAAATTCTGCACTGTGGTGAATTCAATAGCTTGAAATGAATTAAACCCAGTGCTTCTCAAATATTTAATTGTGACTGACCGACAGGAATAATCCCTATAGGAGTAGGGTGGAGTGCCAAAATTATTGTTTCTTTTTCCATCTTATTAAATATTTCACGTTTTGTAGACCCGGCGAAAAACCAATTAACATGTTAGAAGTCAGATTTTAATCCAGTCATCGGTTTAATAGGCATTCATAGTAAGTACTGCTATACTCACTTAGTCGGACAAAATCCACACGATGCCCATGGTGAATTTCTGTGACAGATCACTGAAATCTGCTTTATTAATTGTCAGCAAAATTTGTTGCTTTAAGTAATGTTTATAAATACATGATTTTACAAGGTTTAACTCTAGTTTCCTATGGATTCTGATTCAGATTATAAAAATCATAGAAATATATGTTAGGTACTTTCTGACTTTCATTACAGATTGGCACACCGAAAATTTTATGTTGGAAATGAGTGTTGGCGTAAGTAATTCCGTGTTTTCAATCTTAAAAGGCAACTTATTTTTTTTTAAAATTCATGTTTTTACAACATTTGATCATTTTGTGAAATAAAAATAAGTAAAAAGCCTAATTGTTTTTTGAAAACCAACAACCGATAATTCAATTGTTTTCCAAACCGAATTATCAGAAACCCCATTATCATTTAACATCATTCGTTAAAGTTTCTATTATAATGGCTACAATTTGAGATAAACACAGTCTTTATTATGATATTAATACTAGTAAATAATAATCTGTTGATTATCATGTTTACCACGGTGGTATCCCTAACCTAACACAGTAGAAACAGCAGCAAAATGAATTTAATTGGTTAAGACAGTTAAGTATTTTTAAAGCAATCTATTCTTAAATTAAAAGTTACATGTTTCATGTTCTGATAGGCCTACTTGATTATTTAAGCAAAAGTGAAAATAAACTTTTGAAAAACTTTAAAAGAAGAATTAGTCTTAACTGAATATTTGCATCCTGGGCGACCTGGGGTACATAATTATAAATATGCCTGTGAAAGTTTTCCCCCTACAAACACCAGCAATTTCTTATTTTGATTCATGGTTTTATTAGTCTGCATTTTCAAAACATAAAATATGCCCCAGAGAGGAAAGGGACTAGCACCTAAATAAACAAAGTTTACAAAGTACAGTAAGAATGTCATTGTAATTATTTCTGAGCTGTTTAGCAGTAAATTTTAAGCATAGGCCTCGACCAAATCCTGGAATTTAGATTTATTTTATAAATCTGACGTAACCCATACTCGCACTCATAGCTTTACAAGCATTACCCTATCATTCATTGTCATTTGCCTTATAACTTATCATGACTTATGAGATGACTTGGGCCTACACTTAGTCATCTTAATCATACAGATAAATTCAAAATTGTTTAGGCCCAAGTCAAACAAACTAGGCTAAGTCACGACAAAGTTGACAATTTTAAGAATTAATCACTTTTAATTCATTGCCGGCCATTTAACTTTGTAAAATAAGTCTCCCTTATATTTAGTACTTTTAGTATAGATACTATAAGTAAGAAGTCCTGTTTACTCAAAGAGTCTGGGTCTATGGCTAGTAAGTTGGCTCTATGATATAATTTTAAATTGTCTTAAGGTCTACAAAGCATCACAGAAATAGTGTAGAGATTGTAAAAAAAGACATTCAACATTCTTATTTTGCAGTTGGATTGTGATTTGTGGTAGGAGCAAGAGACTGACTGCAGAGGTAGTGTTCATTGTTAAATTTAGAAGGTACCAAAATTGGACTGCTACTTTATGATATAAAATGTATTGTAATGTATGATTTGGCTGTTTCATTTTTTAATTTAAACTTGCTTTTTCAGTAGAAAAATTGAGGAGTGAGGAGCTCTATGATTAAACATTAGGCCAAGTATACCAAATAAAATTAGAACTTTAGAAGTGGAAACAATGAAAACATGGAATCGAGCACGCCAATCATTATTTCTTGCTACCTTGAAGCTTTCGCCTGTCAGCCATGCCTTAACCCTGTACAGAAATGTGGATGTTGCATGCTACAGTGGAGCAAAGCAACAAGGATATTGATGTGCAGTCCGAAAATATATGATTTTGTCACTTCTTGATTATTCCATCAAAACCAAAATGGCGTTTCCGAAGGTCCAAAGCACTCATACAAAAATACTGCTCACTTATTTGTCCCCATTATGAAAAGAAAAAGTAGTTCTTTCTGTTTACTGAAAAATAATATTTCAGTAAAAATAGAAAATAATAAATGAGTATAAACTTATTAAATATGCTTTTTAAGTTTATGTAAAGTATGTTATAAAGAGAAAATAAATGCACATTTATTCAAATCATGAAGATTGCGTATGAATATATTAAACCGGATATTATTCCCGAATTACTGCGCATGTGTATATGTTATGTTTACATGTTTCTGTTCAGTGTACGATACAACTTTTTTTGATCGACAATCGACACCGGTTTTTTCGAAATAATTAACATAAAACTTAAATTAGCAATGGTATTAAGTTTAGTACGCTAGCTATGTGATGTTTCGATTAAAATATTTAGGCTTATTATATAATTCTTCACCTAACGTCTCTAGATCTTAGCAGACTAGCTAGGCCTAGGCTAGTGCTAGGGCCTAGAGTGGGAAGAGTTGTAAGTGTAAGTGTAAGTAAAATTAATATAAGTATTAATTTTAATTGATTTTAGTATTGAAATTAAGTTCAGTTGTACAATCAATTAGTATTTAGTGATTAGCCTAGTCCTAGTCTATTACCGTAGGTGTAGTGCAGGGCTAGAGTTCTGAAGGTCCCGTGTCCATACATGTGACTGTACTATAACTTAACTATAAGGCCAATTTAAGTGGTCTGTGCCAGTCATGACAGTGTAAGAAGGTTAAAAAGCCATAGCTTGGGAAGGGGCTGAGGTAAACTTGGCTAAGTGGTGAATTTAAACAGTTAAAATCATTAAAAGACATTGTTGAGGGCAATGTTCCCTCTAAGGTTTGTTGGTTTGTGTGCAAAATCATACAGTTGTGATCAAAGTTTTACAGCTTCAATTTTTTTGTGTGCAAAATTTTACAGCCCACTCACTTTCATGGAAATTTGCTGCGCGGTACTCATAACTGCTGCGCGGCGTCTGTGAGATAGCTGCGCGGCCGCACAGCTTAAAGGGAACATTGGTTGGGGGCTTAGTGGTTAAAAAAAAGGGGGGGGGGGGGGATGACTGCAAGTCTCAGCTGCCACAGACTTCACAGAGCCATGACTTGAAGGACTCTTATGGACTATGGAGAGGAGGAGGATGTGGTGACAAGGGAGAGATTGTTCCAACGAAGAATGAATAGGACAGGGTGGAAATCTTGTTTATCCAAGAGTTTGAAGAGTTCAGCTTTGTTGATCTCAATAATCATGCTGTTATTGATTTTGTGCAACATCCCTAGTCTGTTGATTCTCCTTCTTTCTTCTAGATTGGTCCATCCGAAGTTGTTGAGCATGCATGTGACTGTGCCACTCTCTTTGTCTCTATAGTTGTTGTAGGCATATCTCTCTGCACTCTCTCGAAAAGAGTTTTGTCCTTTTGGTTGTGTGGACTCCTATGCCTACACTATGGTGTTGTATTTTGCTGCTTTCACTTTCGGTGTACATTACCTGAAATTCCTCAGCAAGAAACCAACTGAGCTGTTTACTTTTGCAGATATGTTATGAATATGTTTGCTCCATGACCATGTGCCATGTGAGGTTGTCGATGAATGTTACTCCCAGGTACTTTCAGGTATTGTTTTGAGTTTGTGTCCATGGAGATAATTGGGCGATAGTGGTTCCTTTTTTATAGATCGGATGTTGATGAATACACATTTGCTTGGGATTGCATTCCATCTGCCAATTATGCTCCCAATTCTCTAGTGCTGATGGAGGCCCTGGTTTCCTTGATTCTGAACTCTTCTGTAAAGTGAACTGTTGTCTGCAAATAATTTTACACTTGAGTGTTTAACTGCCTCTGGGAGCTGGTTGATATATAAGAGGAATTGGAGTCCTAACACTGTACCTTGTGGCACTCTGGAAGTAACTCATGCTGGTGTTGATTGAACTCCTTTGATTATTAACCTTTGTGTTCTCTCTGACTCTGTAAAAGTGAAGCTTATGCTGCAGTTGCTGGTGAGGAACCTTGTCGAATGCTTTGGAGATGTCAAGTAAGACAGCATCGACACGATCTCCCTTGGCAAGGTTTTGTGTGATATCATGCACTGTCACTAAGAGTTGAGTTTCACTTGAGCGATTTTTATGGAAGCCACGTTGAACATCAGTGAATATTTTGTGCCTTTCAAGGTGTTTCATAACTGTGTTATGGATGATGTGTTCCGGATCTTTCAGTTTATTGATGTCCGAGAAACAGGCAGGTAATTTGTAGGTTTAGTGTTTTTCGCCTTACTTGAAGATTGGGCAAACTAGGGCCTCCTTCCAGTCCTGCGGTACACTTCCCTGATCAAGTGAGATGTGGAACAGTTTTGTAAGGATTGGGGAAAGTTCCTCTGCTCCGTTCTTTAGTAGGATTTCATCTGGTGCAGTGGCCTTGTAAAGACTCAGTTTATTCAGGAGTTTAAAAACTCCTGCTTCTGAGATGGCTTTTTTTCCATGGCTGGGTAGTTGCTCTTGCCTTTGTTAAGGATTGACTGGGTGTTCTTCACTGTTAATACCAACTGAAATTGAGCATTAAGAGTTTCTGCTTAAATTTCACTATTGCTCTTAAGGAAACCGTCTTTGTTCTTTAATGTGCCGACACCCTACGGATCTTGGTGTTGACTCTTCATGTGTGACCAGAAATATTTAGGAGCCTTTGTGAAATCCTCGCTGACTATGTCCTATGTTTTCAATCCTCGCTGACTATGTTTTCAAGGTAGGTTTTGCTTGCTTTCTTAATTGCATATCTACCTTAATTCTTTAAGCGCTTCTACATATCTTTGTCCTTCTTCTTTCCTTATCTTGCTTTTTTGTGTGCTCTATTTCCTCCGAAAAGCTCGCCATATCTCTTTGTCTATCCAGGCATTGGTGTAACAAGGTGTGAGTTTTACGGGTATGTGTTTGTCCATGATATTTTTTATCTTGTCCTTGAAATTATTCCAGAATTTCTTTATATTTGATGTGTAAGTTGTATTGGTTTTTATTTCCTTTGCATATGTTCTTAGGTCCTGTTTAATGGCCTTGTTCTACATGAAGATCTTACATCTTGGGGGCCTAGGCTTGAGCGGTTGTAAAAGTGTTTTATACAGCACAATGTCATGGCCACTTTTTCCTATTGGTGGTAAAGGTTTGCAACATATTGTAAAGGTTGGATGCGTTGTCATGATGATTTCTAAGATGTTGTCTTCTGTATCAACTATTACATTCTTGCATCCCATGCATAGTGCAGCATAGTCATATATGATAAGTGGTGTTTCACATACCACTGTTCACTGAGCCCTCTCAGATCCAATCTGAGTGAAAAAACAAAAAGACTTAGCACATCTCAAAAGAAAATTATTTCCAGCATTGTAGAACATTTGCTTTTGCTTCTGTCATTCAGAAAAGGTGGGAAATTTACCACTTTGTTGGTAAGTAAAAAAAATCATGTTCTGGTTTGGTATGCTGTTTAAATGGTTATCCTTTTATTGATAAGATAAAATTCTTTTACTGATCCAAATAAATGGAAAATTTATTTTTTATGAAATTATACTTATTCATTTCAGCACATAAGACACAGCTTTTAAAATAGAAACATTTCCATAATTTAATAATTTTTAAAATAGAAAAATTTAAACAATTAATGTGTGAAAAGTCAACAGGGTTTGAGTTTATATAAACTCCATGAAAGCAATTGTGTAACATGAACTCAAGCAAATATGAAAGAAAAAGATCACACCTTGTGCCAAACTGTCTTTTTCAGTGTGCATTTTGTACGCATCCACATATTTTCAACATCCTGTGTGTATACCAGCATCATTTTGTTGATAAACCACAACAAAGTTATTGTAGATTCTTTGTCTGAACTGGTTTATGTTTGAATAAGCCGCCCGTTCACCTGATACAATATGTGAGCTTGCGAAGGATATATCTCTATGCACTCATGTAACATGATTGCACATCGATCTGGCACTTCAGCGAGAAAACAGTGCCCACTCTCACTTTCTAAACCACGGAAAACACAGTCGCCCTCTCTCTACTGTACTATTAACAGACATCATTAAAAGAATAACTGTTTAAATGGCACTTCAAAATGGAACAACACGATTTTTGAATAACCAAAGCTGAAGTTGTGGGTTGTGGAGCAGACTTTTGTTTGCCGAATCCATCGCAACCTCAGTGCCAGACAAATTTTTGTCAGCTCCAGCTCCACCCCACTAGTCTTTGGTAGGGTTGCATCAATTAATCTGCATATAATCGGTAATCTACTTTTTAGACATTAATTGACCTGTAGAAAATACATTCTAGATGCAAATTTTGATCTATGTTTGGGGTTCTTACCCTTTGGTCAACCTTTGTAATATTTTTATATGCATGTAAAGACATTATTGAAAAGGGGGTCTGTGGCTTTCCAGCAGACTAGCCAAGGGGACCATGGAACAAAAAAGATTAAGAAGCCTTGATCTAGGTATTTTTAATAGAATCTTGGATATTTGTATGGGATTTTACAAAATTAAGACCATATATACTTGCGTGTAAGTTGCAACAGTGGATAGGTTGTATCCTTAGTTTGGAAGTTACATGGCCTTTTTAAAGTTTATAACTTTTATGTGTTAACCCCCACATTAAAAACAATTCCATAGAACTTGTAAACTAAAGAGCAATTGTCATAAAATATGTGATCTTAAAAAAACTTTTTAAAAAAAACTGATAGCTTGAGGGTAAGGGGGAAAACACTTTCCTGCCATTTTCCATCAATCGTCTTGTCTCCTAGCAGTTCATGTAGGACTTGGAACTTGTTGGATGGAGTGGTCTTGAACTCTTCCTGTTTGACCTTATCTTTCAGGAGGGGGATGTTGTAGCGCAAACTATATGTTGTCTGCTCAGTGTAATGCCTTTTCAGTCTTAGCCTCAGCCAGGCCACTAGGAGATGGTGGTCTGAGGCAACGTCAGCTCCTCTTCTGACATGTACATCTTGGAGAGATCGCCTGAATTTTTCCCAATACACACATGATCTATTTGGTTCATCGTTTGGAGGTCTGGTGAAACCCATGTGGCCTTGTGTATCCTCCTGTGCTAGAAGAAGCTCCCGCCTATGACTAGATTTGTTGTGGTACATAAGTCAGCGAATCTCTCTCCGTTGTCATTCATCTCTCCTATCCCCCGTCGCCCCATGGCTTCTTCGTAACCCGTGTTGTAACTGTCGATCTTAGCATTGAGGTCTCCCATGAGAATGACGATGTTTGGCCTAGGATGACCCTGGGTAATGGTCAGTAATCTGTTATAGAATTCATCTTTGTCCTCCTCACTTTCGTTTGTTGGTGCGTAGCACTGGATAACATCCAAATTGATTATGTGTTTTTTGGTCCGAAAAGTTGCTGTGAGGATTCTAGGTCCATGCGCCTCCCATCCAATGAGTGCTCCTTGGGCTGTCCTAGATATCATCAGGGCCACACCCAGAGTCTGTGGTGCATCGTCATATGCGTGACCTGAGAATAAAAGCATCTCTCCTGAGGCTAGTTTCTTCTGTCCACAACAGATCCTTCTTGCTTCGCTGATTCCTAGTATGGTGAGGTTATAGTTCCTCATCTCAGCGGCTACTTGTGCAGTCTTTCCCGTCTCATACATGGTGTGTACATTCCATGTTCCAATGGCGTTGGTGGTCCTGTTGGAGATGATGGTCGTCGACCTAATAGTTTCCAGATTCTGGCTTTCACTACTTGGCGTCATGCATTCCTCAGCTGGGAATCTATCCTCTCCCAGGACCAGAATGTCTTTTGTTGCTCTTGTCTGCGTTTTTGTAACAAAGAGTTTTTACATGGCAGAGTTGTGAGCCCTGCGCCCAACTGTCTGGGGGTGGGGATGCACCTCACAAGGGTACCCTAGCCTTTGTGGTTTCGCCCATTTCCTGCAAGGCAGCAGGTTCTGATTTTGGTCCACCCTGGGGTATTTGATTTCCCCATTACCTAACATATCTGGTGGGCATTCCCCTATCCGCCACCTGGGGAGGCGCTCGATGGGAGATCAGAAACTCCACATGAATTGCTCGGTGCTAATTTTTTGTTAAAAAATTTTTTAAACTCTTCAGCAACATCCTCAACATCCTGATGGCTGCACCTAGTTTAGACGGGGGGGGGGGGGGGGGGGGGTGCAGAATATACACTGGATATATGTTATTTGTCAGACTGATTATCATTTTTTATTGGCATTCATGCATAAAAGTGTCATTCAGACCATGTATGATATATTCTTATGATGCAAGTTGCTTTGTACATTACCAAAGTTGGATTTCCTCCATGGAAGGCCATATTTTCATGATCTTGTTGTTTATAAACTTGCAAGCAGCAGTCACAGTGGAGTATACATATTTAAAGTTAATATTATCTCATTGAAAAAAATAAACACCATTTCTTACATCCCTATACCTGTCAATACCAATCTTTGCTGGTTCTTCAACAGAAAACTAACTCTGCATAGCATGTTGTAGTTTAGCCTGTGATGCAAGAATTTAAGTATCTGAAATTGAATTCTGAAAATTACAATCGTGCAACGGTTTCATTACAAAAAAAAACCAACAAAAAAACAACTTAAACACCTCCATTATAATGCATCATGAATTGTAAGCTGCACTCATTGGAGAATACAATTAAAAATTTAAAAGTTTATGAATCCAAGCAAATTATTTACCATGTCTTAAATGGGCAGTGCAGCCAGTATAGGAGTACCTAATTATACAGATCTATTTTGTTTATGAAAATATTTTTTTAAAGTTTTGTAACTCACACTAAAACTACACTAAAACATATGGTGAATGATCTTTCTCTTTCTGTGCCCCCAAACAATGGAATTATCTCCCATTACACATCCACAATATACAGACCATCCAAGCCTTCAAAACTGCCCTCAAGATTTTCCTCTAACTGATAAACAATGCTGGATGCTGCTGGGAGCCGTCCATGACTAGACAGGGGTAGATAATACTTGGGTGGGTGAGGTTAAGCCTTTTACCAATTGTTGTTTTTAAATGTAATTGCTAACTTTTATGTGAAGCGCAGTGAGCCTAACCCTAGACTGGGGTACTGCGCTATATAAAAACACCTTAATAATAATAATAATAATAAAAATAATATATTTTTCACATCTTTTTTCATGCTAATATTTTAGAGATAGCCCTACCAGTCATTAAGCAATGGCACATCGCCGTGCTGAGGATTTGAATCTTAGTCTAACTGGATCTCAGCTTTCCGTTATTTCTGCTCGATCTCGATCAAGCCAGCCTGTGTCCTCTCAGAGTAAAAGAGCAAACTCTATGGTAGATGTTCGGCCTAATAAGGTTTGCTATTTTTAATGAGATAATAGTTTGGGGGTTAATTCTGATATATGCTTGGCTTTTATACTAGAGCAAAAGGTTTAGTACCCACCACTATAGAGAAATGTAGGCTTGGAATCAGGGCTGTCTTAACAACATAGGAAGCCCTGGGCACAGCAATGCACTGAGCCCATTAGCAACACAACATACCTCGGCCGTGAGAAGAGGAGCACTCGCCCCATGCGCAAACAGTGCCGGGGGGAGGGGCAAACATTTCCTTCTTCTCCACCAACTTACCAAGAGGAATAAATGTAAAATAAAAATAAACATTCAATAAAGTTAAACTTTGATGAATCCAATTTATTGATACAAAAAACAAAATCAATAATAGTTTTTAAACATTATCAGAAAAAAATAATCACAGAGGATGATAAATTATTATTGCCAAATAGAATAGATGGATAGAATAAATTATTCCATATAAATCAACATAATTGTTAGCGTTATTTTTTTGCAGAGAATTGTTTTATTATTGGTTTAAAGTCAATGGTCTTAAGGATGTCATTTTCCATGCACATAATTGAAAGCCAGTTCAAATGTTTTTGTCCCATTCTACTGCAAAGCTGTTTCTTATTACCTTATTTTAAAACTGTTTAACTTTGATTCGCATTTATAATATTAATTTTGCAATGTGCTGATATGTATCGTAGGTAAAAATTGGGAATTTTGAATCCAATAAAATTGTCAAAATATTTCAATATTAATTTAAAATATGTAAAGCATGATGCCTCTATAAGAGTGCGTCTCCTAGAAACGTGGGGCCCTGGGCCTGGGCCCATACCTTATGACGGCGCTGCTTGGAATTCAAATTTTAATGTGGCAACCATCTTTCGGGATGATTCTAGATGTTGCGCAAGAGGAGGCCAATTATAAAATTTAAAACAACTGAAGGCAGTGAAGATTTTTTCAATATATTTGGGCTAATTATTATTATATTATTTGCTGATTAGAAAGATTTTATTATGAAAATGTGTATATTACTTTGTTTAATGCAGCTTCCAAGTGGTGCAGATGAACAAAGGAGTGAGACTAAAGGTCGGAGAGGATCATTCAAAGGTTTTTCACTTGTCTGTTTCTTGTCTATGGTTTTACCATAATGTCTGTGGCTTGACAGCTTGTGACGCTGAGTTCTTAGAAGACATTGTAAAAAAAGAAATATTGGAATATGAAAATTGTTTGATTTTTAACAAACAAGTAGCTTTAAGTAGTAAATCTAAATTTCTTGAAGTGAATTTTTAGTGATGGTCCAAACAATTTTAACCCTTTCTTTTTCAGAGGAAATGGGTTAGAAAACTTAGGTTTTAGGGAGAGGCAATGTTTTTTATCTACTATTTTACCCATTGTTATCATTAAATGAGACAACTCTCTTAAGAATAATTGATATTTTTCAGGTGAAATACAGAAAACTAGTAGCTTAACATCAGCGCAGTCGTTGGACAAGCTTTCAAATGGAACCACATCAAAAGCAATTTCTCAGTAAGTTTTTTTTTTATTTAGAGAATATTGTTCATATTTCCTTCATTCCATCAAACTCAAATTTGAATAAGAAATTAACGTCAAAAGTTTTTTTTAGTAAAGTTTATTGTGATTTTAACAATCTGTTATTATTGGATCTTTCTTATCTCTGTAATTCCATTTCAGAGAAGATGACTTTCTGGCTCTATTTGAGAGCTCCCCCCAGCCAAAAATCAAGCAAGCGTTATCTGGCATCGCATCTAGTAGCCATAAAAAAAACATATCTAATAAACCCAGCAAGAGCTCAGCGGGCGGAATGGTATAATATAACATTTTATGCTGTCTGTGTTTGTAATATTGGGTAAATTTTTAACTGTACTATTGTCATTGTAATATTGTATATAATGTAATTACTTTTACAGTATTTCAGCTTATTTACCCTTCTCATGTAGTGTGTTATTTAAGGCTCTACAGTAGCCTTAATGTGTTTGCAAGCTAAGTAAAGACTTCACGTGATCTTACAGTAATTTTAAATCTTTTATCCCAATTCTGATTACTAACAGGATTTAAGATTGGGTGGTGCGGTAGATCTGACTGTAGAAGTACATTATCTTTTAATTTATTTCTTTTTAAACTTTAAACTTTCCCTTTTGAGTGTTATTTTAAGGTCAGCTTATTTAACCTTTGATTAAGTTACGAAAAAGTTAATCTCACATGTGATAGTGTGTGATTAAGAGGGAGTGGCCATTCAGCACAAAGGCTGAACACATGTTTCAGTCTAGGCTACAATACTAATGCCTGCCCTGTTCAACTGCTGAATTAGGTTTGTTTGTTGAACTGCTGAATTAGGTTTGTTTGTTGAACTGCTGAATTAGGTTTGTTTGTTGAACTGCTGAATTAGGTTTGTTTGTTGAACTGCTGAATTAGGTTTGTTTGTTGAACTGCTGAATTAGGGTTGTTTGTTGAACTGCTGAATTAGGTTTGTTTGTTGAACTGCTGAATTAGGTTTGTTTGTTGAACTGCTGAATTAGGTTTGTTTGTTGAACTGCTGAATTAGGTTTGTTTGTTGAACTGCTGAATTAGGTTTGTTTGTTGACCTGCTGAATTAGGTTTGTTTGTTGAACTGCTGAATTAGGTTTGTTTGTTGAACTGCTGAATTAGGTTTGTTTGTTGAACTGCTGAATTAGGTTTGTTTGTTGATCTGCTGAATTAGGTTTGTTTGTTGAACTGCTGAATTAGGTTTGTTTGTTGAACTGCTGAATTAGGTTTGTTTGTTGAACTGCTGAATTAGGTTTGTTTGTTGAACTGCTGAATTAGGTTTGTTTGTTGAACTGCTGAATTAGGTTTGTTTGTTGAACTGCTGAATTAGGTTTGTTTGTTGAACTGCTGAATTAGGTTTGTTTGTTGAACTGCTGAATTAGGTTTGTTTGTTGAACTGCTGAATTAGGTTTGTTTGTTGAACTGCTGAATTAGGTTTGTTTGTTGAACTGCTGAATTAGGTTTGTTTGTTGAACTGCTGAATTAGGTTTGTTTGTTGAACTGCTGAATTAGGTTTGTTTGTTGAACTGCTGAATTAGGTTTGTTTGTTGAACTGCTGAATTAGGTTTGTTTGTTGAACTGCTGAATTAGGTTTGTTTGTTGAACTGCTGAATTAGGTTTGTTTGTTGAACTGCTGAATTAGGTTTGTTTGTTGAACTGCTGAATTAGGTTTGTTTGTTGAACTGCTGAATTAGGTTTGTTTGTTGAACTGCTGAATTAGGTTTGTTTGTTGAACTGCTGAATTAGGTTTGTTTGTTGAACTGCTGAATTAGGTTTGTTTGTTGAACTGCTGAATTAGGTTTGTTTGTTGAACTGCTGAATTAGGTTTGTTTGTTGAACTGCTGAATTAGGTTTGTTTGTTGAACTGCTGAATTAGGTTTGTTTGTTGAACTGCTGAATTAGGTTTGTTTGTTGAACTGCTGAATTAGGTTTGTTTGTTGAACTGCTGAATTAGGTTTGTTTGTTGAACTGCTGAATTAGGTTTGTTTGTTGAACTGCTGAATTAGGTTTGTTTGTTGAACTGCTGAATTAGGTTTGTTTGTTGAACTGCTGAATTAGGTTTGTTTGTTGAACTGCTGAATTAGGTTTGTTTGTTGAACTGCTGAATTAGGTTTGTTTGTTGAACTGCTGAATTAGGTTTGTTTGTTGAACTGCTGAATTAGGTTTGTTTGTTGAACTGCTGAATTAGGTTTGTTTGTTGAACTGCTGAATTAGGTTTGTTTGTTGAACTGCTGAATTAGGTTTGTTTGTTGAACTGCTGAATTAGGTTTGTTTGTTGAACTGCGGAATTAGGTTTGTTTGTTGAACTGCGGAATTAGGTTTGTTTGTTGAACTGCTGAATTAGGTTTGTTTGTTGAACTGCTGAATTAGGTTTGTTTGTTGAACTGCTGAATTAGGTTTGTTTGTTGAACTGCTGAATTAGGTTTGTTTGTTGAACTGCTGAATTAGGGTTGTTTGTTGAACTGCTGAATTAGGTTTGTTTGTTGAACTGCTGAATTAGGTTTGTTTGTTGAACTGCTGAATTAGGTTTGTTTGTTGAACTGCTGAATTAGGTTTGTTTGTTGAACTGCTGAATTAGGTTTGTTTGTTGAACTGCTGAATTAGGTTTGTTTGTTGACCTGCTGAATTAGGTTTGTTTGTTGAACTGCTGAATTAGGTTTGTTTGTTGAACTGCTGAATTAGGTTTGTTTGTTGAACTGCTGAATTAGGTTTGTTTGTTGATCTGCTGAATTAGGTTTGTTTGTTGAACTGCTGAATTAGGTTTGTTTGTTGAACTGCTGAATTAGGTTTGTTTGTTGAACTGCTGAATTAGGTTTGTTTGTTGAACTGCTGAATTAGGTTTGTTTGTTGAACTGCTGAATTAGGTTTGTTTGTTGAACTGCTGAATTAGGTTTGTTTGTTGAACTGCTGAATTAGGTTTGTTTGTTGAACTGCAGAATTAGGTTTGTTTGTTGAACTGCTGAATTAGGTTTGTTTGTTGAACTGCTGAATTAGGTTTGTTTGTTGAACTGCTGAATTAGGTTTGTTTGTTGAACTGCAGAATTAGGTTTGTTTGTTGAACTGCTGAATTAGGTTTGTTTGTTTAGCTTGCAAGTTAAAAAAAAAAAGCAATATCATAATTCATTGATTTTTAATTATAGAAGCCACGGCCCTTTAAGAGTAAGCCAGCCTGGGCATCGAAACCATCATCTGCCAACAGCACAGCCCGAACTGAGGAACCCCACAATATTTTCCGTCCAGCTTCAGTCCAAAGTACAGATGATGACTTTGACATTGGTCATCATGCTTTAGATGACCATGGAAATTCTTTGACTAACTCCATCACTAAACTGCGCAATCTCCAGAACCAGATATCGGATGTGAACAAGCAACAGGGCCATGCCAAAGGAACTATCACGGCCCTGGACAGTTATAGGTCGGCTGCTACAACAGGACAGCTTACCCCAGGATCAACAGCCAGGACATCTCAAACTGCTTCAATAGATGAATTTATTCAGGACATCATGGACAGGACTCCTCGACATGATGACCCAGTAGTCAGCGATAGGGTGTTGCCATTCTCAGCTCAATCCGTGGAGGCTGGAGAAACTACTGAGGTGACTGCTGGCTTGGCAAACAACATCAGTCGGCCAGGCCATCAGCAGAAGGTGAAGGCAACACTATCTTCGATGGAGAATTCTTATCACAACATCAAACACAAAACACCTGTGAATCAAGTGAAGAGCACAACAGGGGCTGTAGGACAAAGCTCTATTCTTTTAGGAAATAAAAAACCAGTTCAGCAAAGTAATGTAAATTCCGTCAACAGCATAAAAACTCTATCTCAAAAAACTCCATCCAACTTCACATCGAATGCACAAAAACTGGAGGATTACATCAACACTTTGAATTCAGCGGCCGCCAAAATTCAAAAATGGTTTCGCAGGCACAGAACACGCCATGCGGCAGCGGAAGCAGCCATGAGAAGGTTGCTGAGCCAGAAGAAGCTGGAACACGAGGACAAGCTCCAAAAAGAGCTGGCTCAGTCCATGACTTTGGTGGAGATGGAAGAGAAGAAAGTAGAAGAGAGGAGGAAGCTGAGGGAGGAGAAGGCAAAAGAAGCCAGGCAGCAGGCAATCAAGGTATGATGAGGTTTAAAACTAAGAAACAGAAGAGCCGGTATGTCTTATGGAAACTGGGTGCTGTTGTTTAAACAGAAAGGATTATATTTTTTATTTGGATGCAGTGGAGGATATTTTTAAACAGTATGTATTTTATGTACAGACAGTTGAGACTTCTGTTGCTTTATTTTTAATATTGAACATGTTAAAATTAAGTTTTTCTATTTTGCATTGGTATTTTACCCAGGTTTATTGGATCATATTTTATAAATTTAAGTTTATTCAAAAAGTTATCCTTCATGTCAAATCAGGATCTAAAAAAGAAGAGAGAAGAACATAAAATAGATGTGAAAAAAAAAGCAGAAGATGAGATCAAATTTTTACAAGCAAGTGGCCGCATTTCTAAAAGTCCTTCAAGTTCTGTCATGAATAAGAAGAGAACAATTGAAAAAGGTATCGTGAACACAGTGTCCCCCAATCCAGCCAGCCAGCCCGTGGATGAGGCCGCCACTTCACAGGTTGGTGTACAGGGTACATCCAATGACATGCTATCTTATATATTTTACACCAATACGGCAAACAGAATTTGTTGTTACTTTATTTAAATTAGTTAATTTAAATTTGTTTCTTTAAATTTAAAGCAATTCTTAGGGGGTTTTTTAAAAGCCTATAATTTTCCTTAGTAAGAATTTTAAATAAAAACGTGTCAGGAATTTAAATCTTGCATTATGCAAATTGAACTTTAAAATGTTGGACACCAATGAAATTAAATGTGGTGAAAATAATTTCAGACAGAGCTGAGTGAACTGAGTGCAGGTTATGGAGCTGAGAGTGGAGCTGTTGGCGGCACAGATAAAGCCACCGAGGCCAATACCAACACACGCACAACACTGGAGGACCTTTACAGCACTTTGAAAAAATTGGAGGAAGAGGAAAACTTTTTGACAGCACGGCCAAATAGTCAACCATCTTGGTGTAAGTTGGTCAGGAAGAATGCACTTGCATCATTTTGTTTTACTTTAACTGAACCATTGTATTAAAAAGAAGTTTTTTTTAAAATGAAATATTTCACCTCAAAACAATTTTAGAAATGATAATAAATATAAACTGCTTTACTTGCGTGAAAGTCACTCATTAGCTCATGAAAGTAATATTAAAACGTATGCTATCAAGCTAACTTTGAATTTTTGACTTGTCACCTTAACAAGCTAAACTTGGATTACTTGATTTAACAAAAGTGGCTGTGTCATAAGAACATATTGTTAACCCTTTGACCTCCTGCAAGATGTAAAATGTGTGCAAAAAAAAAAAAGTCACAGTTTGGTGCATGGATGTGTGCCACTCAATTTTTGTTATTTTCAAAGCCCCTAAATAATTAATATACTATTTCTGCAAACAAAATTTGCTCCATTAATAACCCTAAAACATTAAATTTGTTTAGTGAATGAACTAGAGAAGGATCAAGAAGGCGAACTAGGTTCCAATTTAACAGCAGAGAACTTGGAAAAACTCAACTCAAGAAAAGATGGCCTGTCTAACAGTGGTTTCTTAACTAACGATAAATTGAGGAGCATCATCAACTTTCTGGATGAAGTGCATGTCACAGACAGGCTCAGTGAAATAGACACAGTCAGTACCTGTCAGAATTTTATCTTGGGTTACTCATTATAACCAATTATTTGTTGTTCTAGGTATTCTCTGTCATGCTAGACGATCTCTGTAGTTCCGTTTTAACTCTAACCACTTTTATTCACATTAGTCTAAGTATTAATTTGAAAAGCAATTTTGAACCTTTTAAATTATGAAACACATTCTCATCTGGTTTCATTGTTGTGTTAATAAATGAATAGGAAATAAGTCGAATGAATGAAGATCTGGAGAAACCTGCCCTCCTTGTGCCCTCAGCCTCTGAAATAGCTCAAATTGAACATGCTCAAGCAACAGCATCAGAGGTAACCAACACAGTCTTATCTCAACGTTTGGAACTGGATGAGAAAAAGAGAACAGTTACTATGTTGCAAAAAGCTTTGGTAAGATATAATAGAAATCTTGTGGATACAATAAATTAAGTAAGGAATTAACTAGGGTTTTTTTGAGGTGGGGGCAATGGGTGTTGCAGTCAAACATTTAAATAAGGTTTTGTTAATCAAAAGTGAACATGAAATAGCTTTCCTTCCAGAATCAACAAAGGGAACTGACAGTTAGACATGCCAGGGAAACCGAGAAAGAAATGAAAAAGAGGCTAGATATACAAAAGGAGGAGTATGAAGAGGCAATCAAGAGACATTTGTCTTTTATTGATCAGGTCAGTGGATTTTTATTGGTGGGGGATATTATAATGTTGCTATTTATATATTACCACATATAATGCAAGAAATTTAGATGAAAAAATGCTACTTAAAGGGGGTCTCATTATTTGCGAGTGCAAGAAATTTTCATTACCGGTAAACAATAATAACTAAAGCCCATGCAACAAATCTTCTTGGGCCACTAGCATTCAGTGATAAAGCGTGCATCATATCTGCAGACCTGCTTACTCTCAAACTCTTCAAATCGTACAATATTATCACAAAATCGTTCAATACCTTATATTTATAGAAAAAAATAAACATACAGTATACATGCTAACACCTCAAAATCGTACATTGTACACCAAAATCGTAAGAGTAAACAGGTCTGTATCTGGTGTATAACACCTGTAATGTAAGTTGTGCCCCTTGGACTGGATATTAGCTTAGTTGTATCAAGATGACCACAGTTCATTTTAAATATTATAATTTATAGGATTTTGGCATTTTTATCAAGTATAAAACATATATTTCATTAATTCTAATGTATTATTATGGAACAAGATTAACATATTGCATTGTGTGTGGACATGGCATTTTAGGGCCTTTGGATTGTGTTATAAGTTGTAATATACAGTACATACTTCTAAGTAAAAAAAAAATTTACTGCATATATTTGGCGTAACATGTTCCAGCTTACTTGACATTAGACCAAACTGGCAAATGTAGAAATAGACTCACTTTTATGTTGCAGCTTATTGATGACAAAAAAAATTTAGGTGAAAAGTGTGAAAAACTGGTCACAGAGCTAAAGACTATAGACAAGAAATATCAGGAGAAAATCAAGTCTTTAGAATCAAGGTAAATGTCAAGAAAAAATACATTTTTTGCAATTTTGATTGGCACACTTTAAAAAATTGCTGTAAACTCCTACAGTCTTCTTGGATTGATTACATTCGTCAAGTTCTTTTCACATGTTGAATGCGTCGTACTATTCCTACTATCACTGAACGAACTCAACTCCTTTTCATAATAATTATAACTTTAATGTCTAAGTAAATACTATACACATCACATGTGAATATAGCGCAGCTCGCTATCAGGCATAAATAATACACATCCTACCACTCCAAAGTTCCACTCAAGACTGCCGCACGACTAAAACATACTTCACAATACTGCATAGACAATAACGTCACGAATCAGCATAAAAATACGTCATAGAGACAATGGCGGGAAGAGCGTTCACTAACTATAAGAGTCAAGCGCTGGAAAAGCGTTCAACAACTAATGAACATAATATTGAGTCGCAACAATTACTAATGAACGCTCATACTCGACAATTGCCCATCCCAAGGTGGAGAAATTAAATTAAAACAATTAAGTGTCCTGAATTTACACACCAAAGTGATGCATTAAAAAACATTTGGGAGGCTGTGTTGGACATTCCCACAACAACCAAATTATTTTTGTCATTTTAGTCATGTTGTAGAGATGACAAAGGTAAAAGAAGTTCACTCAGCTGCTGAAAAACTTAGAAGGGAAAAATGGATTGAGGATAAAACCAAAAAAATAAAGGTAAAGTCCTGAATAAATTATCAACTTATCGAATTCTTTAAAAGATTATGTGATGTTCTTATTTTCTATGTTAACTTTAAAATTAATATCTATGTTTCATTTTGTATTCAAAATCAAAATACATTGTTATTCATTACTAGCTTGGTATAGAAAGAATTTTATAATTTTACATTCATACCTATACAAGTACTTTTTGGATATTATATAATACTTTGAAAGATCTGATTCTATGACATTGTAATTGTGACGTTTCTTGTTTCCAGGAAATGACAGTCAAAGGTTTGGAGCCTGAGATTCAGCGTTTGATATCTAAACACAAAAGTGATATCAAGAAAATCAAACAAATTCATGAGGCTGAGCTCCTAGAATCGGATGAGAGAGCTGCACAGAAGTATGTCAAAATGACAGAGGAGCTCAGAGATCAACTGGCAGCTGAGAAGGAAGCAGCCATTGCCAGGGAGAGGGAATCTTCTAAACTCAGGTAATCATATGGCATCAACTGTAGCCCATAGCATCGGGGAAAGTTTTCTTATAATATAAGTGATGTCAACTTTTTCAATACTACACATTAAAATGAGTTAATAAATTCTTTGACACAACAAACAAACTTTAATGTCTGTACAAGACAGCGTTGAAGCAGATTATTGTTGGATGGATTTATTTTAGGAGAGGTGTCATTTTACCTCCATGACACTTTTTACTCAAATCAAAACCTTGCAACACACCTTGACACCCCCCCCCCCCCCCTTTCTTTACCCTTTTGAGCACCATCACCAGTGTGTTGCACAGAATAAAACTCTAGCTAATTTCAACAGTGAGGAAAGCTTCACTCGCTTCGACCTTTTGTGTGATTTCATCAATGATGTAGCTCATTATAAGATAAGATAAGATTCTTTTATTGATCCAAATACATGGAAATGTTTTTTGATTGCATTATACATTTTCAGCTCAAAAATAAAATAATTTGAACACAAGACATTTATAATGAATTATTTCAAACAGCCATTCAGTGAGTTCTCTTAGCAAAATCGGGGACTTATTAGTTCTCATTCAGATGTGTGACTTTAGAGGAAGCATGCCGGTAAATTCATACAGATTGGGGAACAAAAGAATTTTTATATCTGTCAGTCCTCGCCCTGATGGAAAGAATTCGTCCAGAACGGCCCGATCCTAAGTATCTGTGTGATGAAGAGGGTGGGATGTAATCATCCAAAATGTGTTTAGTTTTGCAAAAACATCTTTCTTCAAATAGTTCTTCAAGTAAAGGATGTTTAGTTTGTGTTATGTTCCTAGCTTTCTTGATTAGTCGGCTTATGCGGTGTTAATATCAGACGTTGAATTCCCATGACGAGGGAATAGAGTAACATCAAGTGTGGTTGACCATCTAGTTTCAATAGCTCATTTCATCCCTCACTCACTGCTACACCACAGGTATGAAAAACAGCTGGAGCAGGAAGAGGAGGCCTACCAGCAGAAACAGAGGAGGCTCTACCAGGAGGTACAGGAGGAGAAACAGCGCCTGGCCTCGGCCTCCTCGCGGCAGAGGTCGGAGCTGGAAAAACTGCAGAGACAGCTGGAGGACAACCATAGGCACGCCTTGGAAGCCATGAAGGAGGAGTTTGACAAGTCAAGGGATGAGCAGGAGAAAAGACACAAGGTCAGATCAACCTACATAATTCACTATGTTCAACTATCTGTCTCTAATGCTAAGGTTCCCCATAACTGTTCTAAATGAGATTCTTAAAAATACTGCAGGTGGGTTGGCTGTGTAATATTTTCTTTTCTTTTATGGAAATAGTGTCAATTTAGATATGGTGTTATAAATTTGCAGCATAAAGTGGGTAGGACTTCAGAGAATATTAATATAGTTCAGGGGCCAGTAAAAAGTGTGCATTTTTTGTCATATAACTTTAGTAGATGGGAAGCTCACTCATTGGGGATGGCATTGTATAGCAGACTAAAAATTTTTGTATTTTTTATAGCCAGTAATACTAATAGTTTTCTGAATTAGAAGTTTAAAAAAAAGTAAAGATATGTCTGCCATTTTTAACAATTGTCTATGCGGATGTAGTCTCACATTTGCTGATCATTTCCTTGGCATGTTAAAATTCATGAACTGACCAGTTACACCACAGGCCCAGTTTCATGCTGCACTGAAACAATCTAGCATGGAAGGCAGCAGTAATAGTAGAAGCTTTTGTTATATTCTTGATGATATACTTTAGCCCTGCTGGAAATGCTCCCTTGTGATTCGTTGTTGTTTGGTTGCTCCTTTTTTATTACCAAAGATATGTTGACATTTCAGTCTGAAATTCGAGCTCTTCAGGAGAAGTTAAAGCTAGAAAAGGAATCCTGGGAAGAGAACTACATGAAGAGACATGAAACTTGGCTGGTGCAGAAAGAAAGGGAAATAAGAGAGCAGGTAGGCCAGAAGTAACTCTGTGCTTAATCTTTTTATTTCTTTGATGACTAGGAATTTGTCCTTTTTTTTTTTACTGATGTTTAGCTGTTCGCCTCTTTTTGATGATGTGTTTAGACAACAGGGACCCAATCTACCAGCATTGCACATTGGCCCCAGATACGGCGGTACACCTGATGCCCCAATCTTGGCCTTTGGGAGGTTAGGGCAGCAAGAGGTCCTACTTTGCAAATGTTATATTGCACAGCCGAACAGATGGAGCGTGTTGCAAAAGTGTTAGTTAGAACCATAAAAGCAATTACCTTGCAATTAAGCTTGTTACCCCCCTCTTCCTCCCCCCAACCACCACCAAGCTCTGAGTATGGATTACTGTTAGTGATGTCTGGTTGTATCCCTTTATTCAGTGATGACTGGGTAGTATTTTGTAATTTTATTTTGTGGCAAATATACATTGAGTTGATGATACATGTTATTCATTTTTAGATTAAGAAAGAAAGAGACAAAGAAATTGAGATGGTGATTGAGAGACTAGAAGAAGACGCGTCCACTGCTCAGGAGGCCAACGAAAGGAGCACAGAGCAAAAAATAAGGTCTTTAAATAAATGCTGCTATATGTTCTTTAAATGATATGAATTGATTCTGTTGACTGAGTGTGGTTCGGTCAGCAGAATGTTATTGTGTGTACCAATCGCAGTCATGTTCTAAGAATAAATTTGATTAGTCTTGGAAAGTGATGTTTGTCATGTCAATAGTGATGTTATTCTCAACATCCTAATCCATCAGCCATTTGCCTTCGGCCTGCGGACATTGTGGAAAAATATGCATGTCTTCCTCATTTGGTCTTTCTTTGTGTACAAGGTGTTCTATAGTCTAGCAACTGTGGTATTCAATTGACGTTTATGTCCTGAAGTGCTGGTCAGTGAAAAAGGTTTCATACTGTCGTATTTTCTTATTTGCATGATGGCAGAGTGGGTATTTTAGGGTTCTGTCTGGTCTTTTGCGGTTGTTTTGTGAGTTTAATTGGATGTGATGGAAGTGATGCTCCCTCAAACACTGGTCTTTTGCAGTTGTTTTGTGAGTTTAATTGGATGTGATGGAAATGATGCTCCCTCAAACACTGGTCTTTTGCGGTTGTTTTGTGAGTTTAATTGGATGTGATGGAAATGATGTTCCCTCAAACACTGGTCTTTTGCAGTTGTTTTGTGAGTTTAATTGGATGTGATGGAAATGATGCTCCCTCAAACACTGGTCTTTTGTGGTTGTTTAGTGAGTTTAATTGGATGTGATGGAAATGATGTTCCCTCAAACATTGGTCTTTTGCAGTTGTTTTGTGAGTTTAATTGGATGTGATGGAAATGATGCTCCCTCAAACACTGGTCTTTTGCGGTTGTTTTGTGAGATTAATTGGATGTGATGGAAATGATGCTCCATCAAACACTTGAATAATGATGGTTTATTATTACAGAATAACATTTTTGTTTTATTTTAGGAGATTGAGAGAAAAGTTTGAAACAGAGACAAGGGAGCTGGAACAGTCTGAAAGAAAAGCAGTTCAGAAATACAACGAAATGAAGGTTTGGACTGAAATATACTTTCAGTTATGAACTGTTACTACAATAGGAAATGTACATTTAATAATTTCACTTTTCCAATAAGAAATATCCATTTAATGAACCTGTGGTCCAATGTGAAAAATCTTGAGGTTAAAGTAATTTGTTGCTTATGTTTTTTTCACTCAGGCTAAGATGACAGAGGTGGAAGGTGAGAATGAAAGGCTGAAGGTCATTATTAAACAGAAAGATCAAGAAATATTGGATAGTAAGAAGGTAATGAGTTTTAATACATATATTTGGTTTTTTTCTAATCCCAAAATTATTTGCAAAATCTTTCAGTAATTCAACAGTTTGATATTTTTCATTCTGTGAGAATTTCAAATACTCTACATTGGAATCACTCCATAATAATTTGGGCCCATAAAATTGTATCGCTCTAACGGCCTGGTCATATTTTGGAAGGCTTTTACAATATTTCATGTTAATAGCATTTTAAAAAAAAAAAAAAAAGATTGTTGATTTTGTTGCTTTAAAAAAATATTTTTTAATATCTTGTTGCTAGTTAGCTATGTGGTTTTGAAGTTTGACTAGTTTTAGTGGATTTATGATTGCGTAGTACAAGAATACATATCTTTAAATTTATACACATTTTTTTATTACGGGAGCCATGTCACGACCATGTTTTATCCGAAGTTGCATTATAGCATTGTACGTTTTATCAGAGTTCCACTGCATTTATCATACTCCAAAATGGAAATTTGATTTAGATACAACTTTTTTTGAATTATCAACAGTAACCTCAATATCATTAAGCCATGCTTGTTTATAAAATATCATAAGGACATACACTACATGACCATGTGATCCAGTAATTTATCATTACTTTTCCTTTGGTAAAGCTTCTGGAAAAGATGAACTCTGAACGGAGTCATGTGTCAGACATTATTCGTCAAGAGTTTGCAGACAGAATTGTGGCCACAGATGAAGAAAATAAAAGAATCAAGCACGAGATATCAGAGCTGCGGGCCAGGCATCGCATTGAGCTAGAGAAGGCGCAGAGGGACATGGAGGAACTGAGGAGAGTTAAAGATGAGGAAATGGAAGAAGTGCACAAGAGGTAAAACCATTTGTGAAAGGATGGATGTGACAGACATTCTCATAAGATAAAATATGACAATGGGGAGGTGTTGGCGGTTCAATGGATGTAACAGCTGTTGTTGTCATAAGTTATGTCTGCAAGGAGGTAAGGAAAATTCAATGGATTTGTCGTGGTGGTTGTTATAAAATGTGTCTGTGGGGAGATAATGGTTAAGAAAATGATGCTCTGTGTTGAGGATAGTACCATTGTACTGAAAGTTACACATCTGATGGCTGGTAAATGTAAGGTGAGTAAACCCATCATAGACTTCAGGACTTAATGAACACAGTGAGTAATCCCATCATAGTCTCCAATGTGAGGTAAATGTGTATAGAGTAATAAGACAAATATGGTCAGGGAAGATAAGTCAGGTTAGCCGTTAATAGTGTCATTGAACTGTGGAGTGTATTAAAAATGTGAAAAGTAAGGGGGTTGACAGGTAGGACAGAGTCCTCTATGGGTTGACTCTATGGGCAGTGAATATTATCTATCTATTTGTCAAGCATGCAGTCTGTTATATTTTTTATATGGATTCTTACAGATTTAATATTTATTACATAAAGAGCATAGAAGTGTTGTTTTTTTCCCTTCAGAGTGAAAGCGGCTATTGTTAAGAAGGAAGAAGTAGTGGCTCAGTTAAAGCAGCAGTACCAGGCGGCTAACAAACGAGCCGACCACCTGGAGGGTTTGCTAGAGCAGCAACGGAAACAGTTATTGAACCATAAGTAGTACATCAGATAAAAGTCTTGAACCAATAATTAGTGAAACAAAGACCTCCCATGTGATTTATCTCAAAGCTTTCTGCATTTGTTAAAATCTAGTTGAATAAGTCCTGTATATTTGAGTGCAAGAATTTTTGGAGGGAAAATGTTCTTAATTTATGTGGTAAAAAATGTTTCTAACTTTATCATGTAAATACATTAGTATTGTTAACTTTTATTATTGCAATTAAAGACTGAAATTGTAGACACATGAACTTAAATTGCTGAATAACAGTGTTGATTTGAATATTGTGCCTTATAGGCTAATTGGTTCTGTTTACGCCACTTATACTTCTTTTTAAACAGTGCTCCTCTGTGTCCAATCTCTTTGAGAAGTTTTGTATTTGTTTTAGAAACTTCTTATTAAAAATATTTCTATGGCAGTCATATCATGGTTAAAGACAGTTTTAATTAAAATATTTTGAAATAAAATAAAAGTTCAGCATAAAAGGTCTTCTAGATCTGGTGTTATACAAAGTATTAGAGTCAAAGTCAGGGTTTCATCATTTAAAAAAAAAATAACTGCTACACAATTTTGAAATTATTTTATCCATGGGTGAATTTTTGCTTTTTTTTGCTCCTTGGGCGACTATTTATTAACTTATGGTGTTGCCTTTGGCGATTGAAAGTAAATGAATTTGATAGGGCAACTATTGTGATATCTTGAAGTCTATATTTATATTAAGATCACTGAGGGGGTAAGACTTATTAACTTATATTGCCCTAATTTTTACTAAAACGTGGTATTCTCTATTTTCCTGCCAGCATCTACTGCCTTCTTCATAGATACATGTAAATGTCTTTTTAATTAATTTATTCAACTGCTAGGCTGTGATATAAGTGAGGAAGTATCATACACATATCAATATTCTCATTTTAATGCCACATAGAATGCATTATATTTATATAAACAAGCTTTATTATTATGATTGTCTATAAATTATAATGCCAAAACTCTGGCTGGGTGAATTATTATTTAATAGAAGGGCTCCATACCATCCCAATGGTTATATGATAAAGCCACTTGTCATTGTTGAATTAGATTCAAATTCTTTTGGTTGTTGTAATGAGCACCTTATTATGGTCTCCAGTGGAAAATATTTTGTGATTTTTATTTTTGAAATGTTTATTGTATTCCTGGTACACTGCAATAAGGCTTGTTAATGCTGCATTCCTTTGTGAAGTTGTACTTATGTATATTATGTAGATTTTTTTTAAAAACATTCATGACAACTTATTTTTCACTTGTAGATATGACCAGGTGGTCTCCAAGCATAAAATAAAAGTGTTGTGAGATAACTGTAATAAAACTGTGTTCAGTTTTTATGGGTCTAATACGCTCGTTTTGCAACATATTTCAAACCTAAAAAACATTATCGCCACAAATTAACATAATTTAATTATTTTGTTACATAGCATTTCCGATCCATTGCTGTGAAGAAAACAAAATATTCATCATTTTGCTCATTAGCTTGCACAATTTATTAATTAAACATTTTTTGAAAACTTACTCCAATTTTTTTTCACTTGTATTTTATTGACCATAAATTAAATATACAGACACAGGAATGATTACCTTAAATAGATTTGAGCTATTGGTGTAAAGATTCATCACACCCAATACACACATGAAATAACATTTACACCCACTACAAGAACTGTTTCACCAACATAATACCCACAAAGCTGTAACAGAGTCTTATACAGATTGTCATTTGCAAAAAAAAAGATGGATAGTCAAATTATATCTGGTAGCAACCACATGACTGGATATTTTTGATGGGATTAAAGCTAGTGTGGCTGCTGATTTCAAATTAAGCATTTATAAAATAGAAACTTACTTTTAAAACAATACCATCTCTATCGGCAGTGATTGAATTTAAGGTATTTTCACATAATGAAGGGTTCCAAGTATGGAGTAAAAATAACAAATGATATCAAGATATCTCCAGATCTACTAATAACTAAACATGTTCTGTACATCACAACAATTCAATATGGACATGTAAAATTATCACAGTAAATTAAACTGAAATCATAATAATAGACAACATCGAAATCAGAGCTTAACATGTCAACTGATGGAAAATCAATCAACAACCAATATACTAAAAGAGTTGAATATATTGGAGCTATAATAATAATAGATATTATTGTGTCTTCTGTTTGTTTTCTATAAATTCTGTAATTTTTGCACTTTGTGTAAATATTACAGCATAATATTTAATCTAAAAAGCTATATGTATGATTGAAATATAGGAAGGTGATGGAAGCTGGCAGTGTTAACTGATAACTTGTGTATTATTGCACAATGGAAAATGGGAATGATTTATATGATATAACTTTTGATGTTTAACATGTATACAAAACAATATTAATTTGTCACAAGACTTTTACAACAAATCTTGATCTTAAAACATGTAAAAAATAAACTGTAATGTCAGTAGTTGGACTAGTTGTTCTTGACACAGGATATCCTTATATGGGAGATAATCCACTCCTTCTGGATGGTTTTGAAATAACATATTACACTTGTATGGGAGATTATCCATTCTTTCCACCAGGTGTTCAAACCCATTTACAAATAAGGGAATCACTCTTTTCAGGAGATCATAAAATTAATATAAATAAAATGCTATTTCAATTAACAGTTTAAAAATTATTCCAACGAAATAAATCCATTTGTAGTAAACAGAAAAATACATTTATCCCATGCATCAACTTGGACACACAAAAAACACCCTTAAAAATACAAGTACCACTTTTCAAAAGTAATTTCTAATGCTAATGTTTATCCCACTACAATATCCCATCTTCATAAAATCATTGAACACAACATACATTAATTGGGAAAAAAAACTAAAACTGCAGATAATTTTTTGATGTCATTTCAAACAAACAAGGAAATCCAACCATATCAATAGCTTCTTTTTATTAAAGTAGCTTTATTAATTGTACTTTACTTTTTATAATGAGATTCAGTTTCAAAAGATCAATGAATCTCAATGACTCAACAATAAATGAATGACCACTCTGTCTCTTGCTGAAAAAATTTACATCATTGCCTTGCTGGTCATTTTGCAGTTTTATTTTAAAAAATTAGGCCAGTGTTCATATTGATTAAAAAATGCATCATGATGAGACTAAATGGTTAAAAATTTAAAAGTGGGTTTTTTATGGTTTTAAAATAAATTAACAAGTACTTTTACACATAATTTCAAAAAACAAATGAAGGTATAGATTTGAGTTACATTTAAAATAAAATTTTACTTGAAGTCTTATGATAGGGAGCAAGATCTTTTCAAGTCATGAAAATATATCAACTTTATTTATGAGCCTTCAAATTTTTAAAAACTTGTCCATGGTTGCCACATTTTAAAAAAAAGATCTTTTATCTAAATTATTTTAGATCATTTCAATTAAAGAGAGGGAATAAAAAATAACAACCTATTCTAACTTCAGTCATAAGTAATAGGGCTGAGCTGGGTACTGACCCTGGATACCTGGAAGTGCTGAGTATTAGCACACCTGGCACATACCACGACCCTGCAAAAAAACAAAACTGGGTCCAGGTGTTAAAAAAAGAGTCATCTTCTCATTTTCTATAATATGTTCCACCCAATGGGGAGTAATGAAAAGGCCAGGCATAGAACCAATACATCTTGTTACATAATTTTTTGAAAATTTTACCTGAATTAAATAAATAATAGAAAAGTGACTCGCCAAATGACAGTTAAATAAAACTAAAAAGCTCTGAAAATAATGTACTTGCTGCGAATTGTGTAATTATTTGTCTTAGCAAGGTGCATATTTTTATTTATGACCCTGTGACTTTTTAGTTATAATTAATATTACATTTCACATGCTTACTGACTGGTGATACTAAGTGGCCAAAGTTTTTATGTGTGTGTGTGAATGAGTATCATTTCTAAGTTCTCTCATAGAATTCATTACTAGTAATGTAATTTAACATTCATTTAATAAGTAAAGCAATTGCCTTATCTGAAGGATGGCTAGCATGGTACAGTATGGTGATTTAAATATTAATTTAAAAAATATTGTGTGTGTATGTTTGTATTAAAAAAAAGAAAACTGCTACCAGCTGGCGACCAGCAACACTGATGCATATAACGAAGTTCAACTCTAAGTTTCATATTTGCTATTTTTATGGTTTAGAGTAGTGGCTCTCACCTGAGGGTCACAACCCCATTTAGCAGTCACCTCACAAAAAGTAAGGGGTCACTTGAGAATTTCTGAAAATTTGGGAGGTGCTTTATGTGCAAAATTTGAATTTTTTTTCTTATTTGAATCTTCATTTTAAAATTTTAATATAAATCCCCTAAGTGATCATACCAGTTTTCTATTGCTACTACACTCTGACTACACTACAGCTATATTAAATAAAATAATAAAAAATGATTAATTTAATAGATATCACCAGCTTATTTAATATAAATATTTTGGTACTTTATTTTAATTACATTATGCAAGATTTTAATTTAAAAAATTTTTTTTTTTTGGTGGTTTTGGCGAAACTTAAAAGTTGGCAGCTTCCACGGACACCTATAACCAGGTGTGTGATTTATCAAACATTTTCTGGGAAGCCCCCCTGAACAGAATCCTTCACCCTTCTTATCCCTCATTTTTGCTTTCACATCCCCACCCCCCACTTCCATCAAAATTACAAGATCAAAACATTATATCTACAAAAAAGCTATGGTCCATCGCCCCTTCTCAACAATTGTTTTATAATTTCAAGGTATACTTCTGGTTGTGGGTCGCCTCAACTAGGCAAATGTTATAATGCACTAAAAATGTAGAGAGTTGCTATTAATGATTTAAAGCCTTCAACTTTGAAGCTGTCCTGATTGCTGCAGATTCTATACATGCACTTTTCACTTCTCCCCATTGGGTGGAACACATTATAGAAAATGAGAAGCTAACAACCGAACATGGACTCTCAAAATACCTGGACCAAAGGTAAAAAACTGCATGCCACTCAGCCCTGATGAGTAAGTTGTGACTTTATCCCATAAATGAAAATATATACTTTTGGCCCAAACTTATATCAAGTTACCAATGGTTGGTAAAAGACTGTTTCACAAATGCATGACTTAAAAGACTTTGTCTTTGTAAAATAAGTCTTCAGTTACAATTACAGACTAAATTTAGTATTTAAAAAATATGTGATCTCACATGAGTTGATATTAAATCACAAAATTGTACATTATTTAACTGTGCAGTTCTGATTATAACTTTATTTTACTCAAAATCAACTTATCTTCACAAAAAGTCAGACATTTGAATGAGTGCGTCCTCATTTCACACTCGCTGAATCTCAAAGAGCTTGACATTGGTATCATACCAGATGGGTGGGTCCACATTTCTGAAAGTGAAACCAATCAGTATGAGAGATTGTTTAAACAATGATAGATATTTAATGTGACTCATTTAATCCTGGTTAACAGTTGGTCTAATGAACTTGATTCATTTGGTGATCCCGAAATTGTAGAAATTAAAGATAACAAGGATTACAAGAAAAAGACAACTTATAAAACAAATAATTTTTTTAAAATATTTTTTTTCTCATTTAGAGATGAATATTTCACCGAAGGCCTTTAAAATATTTACAGTTCTATGTCAGAAAATGATTCCTTGGAATTTGTATTTGACTATATCATATGGCAATCAATGGGAATACATCGGTTTTTACTTACCTTAGATATATGACACCCCACAAGTAAGTTCTGAACCACATTGTGGTGCCGCTGTTAGCTTGGTATTTGCGAATGAGGATTGGGTGCGGCACTGGTAGCAAACCAACAAGAGTGCCGTGTTGGAGGAACTTGAGTATTTCAGTCTCATCTGTTAGACCCCTAAAATATACACCTTCTGGTAAGCACATTTTGTAAAAACAACATGTTTCAGTTCATGTGATAAAGATCAATGAATATTTTTCTAGTGTTTGAAATGTCCAAATATCTTATTAAAAATTGATTCAAATAAAATCAGAACTTAAATAAATTCAAATATTTTCAACTCACTTATCTATACAAATCTTTTCAACTTGCGGCACCAATACTTGAAGCATTCTCATAATTGTTTGAAGTGGTAGTTTTTGTTTCCAAGACTGAACCTGTTCACATGAGAATGTCAATTATGTACACAAAATGTACATTAATATGCAAATTTAAGTACTTTTTAGTAAAAGTAGTTTCTATCTCAGACAATGTGGACAAGACAATCTCTACCAATAAAGTTGAATATCTTAAATGTACAACAAAAACAGACGTTAGATTCAAAGATACCCATTCTGGAGAAGCCACCCACTGTCCTGGTGTTGTTGATCCACCTTTAGTAACCTGAGACTTGCTGGTCTCTGTTGGTGTTGTAGCCGTTGACCCCGGGGTTGTTGGTGTCTGAGGTGGTGATGACTGAAACAAGACAAATATTTAAGTCACTTTGTTTCTCTTATTTATTATGGAAAAATTCTTAATGTTAAGCAACAATGTTTAAAAAGTAAAACATTTTAGGCATTCAATATGTTATGTCCTAGAACTTCACTTGAGCAAAAAACATAGCTTAGCCCATGCAATACATTTTTTCCGCAGTGTGCGTCTCCCCGATTTCAACTGAATATGTTTAACCACAGAGTGCGTCATCACAAGTTTGTTTCATGTTTTGTACTTTAACTTTTACAGTAAAATATTATATTTATAGCTTTCTAAACTTCTATTGAGAAGAGTTTCAACTTCCTTTCTTTGAAATTTCTGGCGCATTGTACCATGTTTAGTGTATTTTTGCTAGTTTTTTCACGTTTTAAAAATTGTAAAGAAACATCAGCTGATTGGTATAGCTTCAACAAGTTGTACCGATACTAATATTAGGTCTGCTCACTCAAGTTAGATGTATGACTGCCAGAGAAGCAAGCCAACTAATTAACTTCAATGAAATGTTACATTAAGAAATGGCGTCAGCGGGACGAGTCTAGACTCTTATGCCCCCCCCCCCAAATTACCCCTCCCCAGTCCGACGTATTGGGCCGCGGAGCGGCACGTTGGAGATGCCCACTCGTCAGGACGGCCCCCACACGGGCCCCTCACCCAAGTTCCTCACCTGGGCGCCCAGGAGGCACCCGGTCGATCCGACACTATGCGTTTAAACAGTGCACTCGATCGACTTTCTCAGGAGTTGGGATGGACAAATTTACGTCCTAATATCTTCCCCCACCCATCCCGGGAAAGCGTCGGACGCCCTATAAGAGGGATTCCACAGTGGGTTTCCACAACGCGACTAGTTCACGCTGTAGCTGGGACGAAACGGTTGCCTAGGGGCAGCGTTCTCACGGCTGCATTATTTGAATCCTCGGCCAGAGGTTACCACCCTCGCCTCTGGCCTCATACCCGTCAACGGCAACTTGTAATCATGATCCCTACCCTGGCTCTGCCTAACTTTCCGACTGCAGAATATCACAGCCGGCAGCCCTGTGGGAGCTGTTTTATGTACGGCAGGTACCGAGCACACCCTTTGTCTGCCCACTTGGGGCGTGTCCAGTAGTTATGTTTCCAGGCAAACGCCGAGGGGGTCGGTGGCCGACGCCTCCTAATCGGCAAGCCACAACAGACTTGTCAACCAGAGACCTGGAACGGCTTCAATGATTCATTGGATTTGAATGAAAACATGATGAAGAGGATTTGGATGAAAGATTGCTCTTTGATAGTAAGGATGAGAAATATATTTCTCCAGCCATGAAGAGACCAAAATTATGCCACTTGTTTTGAGAAAAAATGCATAACTTAGCAATTTCTTGAGTTATTGCAACAAAACTTTCCTCATACTTTGGATATATAAATAATAATAAGGTTTAATTGGATTATTCTTACCTGATTTATTGGCTGGTGGGTAGAATTGTTGTTGTTTTTTTTAATGTTACTTTTATATAACACTGTCACATTACCCCGCAAGTTTTTCTCTATATAATTTGCTATCACTATTTTATAATAAAAACGTATTCCTTGTTCAATTTATTAAATTCTGATATGCTACATGGCAAAGGTTTGATAAACAGAAAGTGGGAATTTTAAGTTAAAAATAATCAGGTCGAATGGAATTTTAGTCCCTTAATTTTACTAAGTTCCTCTGAAAAAATGTGATGTACTGAATGGGTTAACTAAATAAAATACAAATCTACAGAAACATCATGACTTAACAACAACAACAGTTTTAATTTTCATAAATGTTAATTTAACAATAATACCACCTCAGAATTTAAAGCCTTAAATAAGTTATAAAATAATGTAGTTATGATCTCAAAGGGTCTCAGAAAAGAATAATCTAACAAGAAAGTCTCCAAAGCTCTCTGGGACTCATTTTCCTAACTTACCAAACTGTTAGACTTTTCTAACTTTGGACTAGATTTGTTTGCCTTGCTGGGACTCCCTTTGGTGGCAGCAGATGATTTAGAACCTCCTTCATCACTCTCACTGCCGATTGGTTCTTGTATTTCATTACGAGGTTGGACATTCTCCGCTAGTTCTTTAAGAGTGGCCTGATGATGGATTTCATCCGGTGCAGATCTTTCTGTCATCTTGTCGATTCCTAATAAAAAGAAAGAAAGTAAACAACATGGCATTTATCAATCTAAAAGCATTTACTATTTATTTCAGAAAAGAGAAAATTAATTCTTGTAGCTTAACTACACTATAGAGGTACCTCTTCCATGACTGAGGTGTCTGTTGGAGGTGTACAGTTTTAATTGGTATACTGGACTAAGCGATAAAAGAAAGTAGAGTCAGCGCAATTTCTTGTTTTTACTTTTGAGAATACCAGTTTATATTAACTCTCTGCAGTCCGACGATAGAGAAATGGTACTTATAAGTACCATAGATTTTGTGGGTGGGTTATTTATTTTTTAACTTTTTTTTTTAATTGAAAAAAATTATTTATTATATTTTAATAATTTGTTTCATTGGTTTAAGGATTTGTAAAAAAAATTAAAATTATTACAAAATTTGAAATTACTATTAAAAAAAATATTTTTGGAAACTTATTCAGCGCGGAGTATCCCTTGAAAGCTTCGCAGATTTCCAAAAAAACAAAAAATATAAGTCTCACAAAGAAAATTAAATAGTAGTATGAATATTGTCAAATGATTTTAATTTCCCGATTTATCAAGGAGTTATTTGTTTGTCTAAAGTAATGTATCCAAATGGAGACTCTAATCATGAAATTTATCACGATTTGCATATAAAAGTACCGACTAATGCTATGGCAAACAAATAAGCTTAATTTTAATTATCCCGACTTTAAAATTAATAATAAAACAATAAAGTGATATTTTTATAATTTTAATTGGCTGAAGTATATATTATCCATTTATACTTATATTGATATATTCTATTTGAATTTTATTGAGTTTCAGTAATTATATAATAAATAAATAACGTCACTATGCGAAATAAATATTTTAAAAAACAGCGGAAAATTTCAGCTGATTGTAACTTGCGTAATTAAATAAATTTAAAGTTAAGGACTTCTGAGTTATTAACTAAATATATTTCTTTAAAATATGTTACAGCCAAGAATAATCTTCTAAATTTTCTAATATTGCATAGTAGAAATGTGTTTAAATTTAATTATCATTATCGCTGGTCACTAGTATTAGTAGAGACTACTGTCGGCAGAATAAAAAAACAACATTTATATTTTTATTAAAAGCTCTCTAACTCTAATGGGAAGGAGGAGAGAGAGACAAAAATGCAGATATTGGATCATTATTGTACTGAAACATTTTAATTTTTTTTTAACTTTAACATCAGCGAATACCGCTATTTTAAAATTTAAAAAAAAACGTTGACTCTTGTTTTGAGTTATTTATATAATCATCAAATTTTACTTAGTTATCTTTTACTCAAGAATTATTAAGAAATATATTTAATATACAAATCTATAAGCTATGAGGCCCATTTTTTTAAATATATTACATACAAAACATAATTTTAATTAAAAGAAAAATTATAGTGCATTTTTTAGGAAAAAAAGACAAAATATAGGTTTTGTTAAAATGTTGACAACTTTTTGATTGTTCATAGAATGTTTGTCATGTTTGACTATGAATTGTATTAGATGATGAAGTATTTTATTTAAATAAATTTTAAATCTTTTATAACAAGGATTTTTTTGTTCCTTCATTCTGTGTGAAAATTTTGTCAAAACTTTGCATAAAATGAAAAAAAATAATTCTCCAATAATGTTTCAATTATTTTTATAACTAAGAAAATAAAATATACAAAAAATATCTAATGATAGCTGAGTCAAAGATGAACAAGTTAATATCTTAACTGATCAGATCAGAGCTATTTCAGATCAGTTAATTAATTATTTTAAAAAATCACCTTAAGATTTTTAAGAAATGTGAAAAAAACGTCAGATTGCAGAGAGTTAAGGCACTGAAGTAGAGAGCTCAGAAAAGTTTGTCCTAATATTTGACTTACGTGGCGTTGCTGCTAATGTGACCTTCAATGTCCCTGGTTCTGCCTCTAGGGCAGGTTGTGCTCCCTCCATGGTCTGGGGGTCTCGAGTATCTTGAGGAGGGGGTGCAAACTTTTTACCCCGTTTTGTCATCGCTTTTGCTATTGCAGAGTGATCTATGGGCAAGTTTGCCAGTTGGTGAAACACATTCCTCTTACGAATAATGGTGTAAACAAGATTTGCATTACCTATTTGAGAAGAAGAAGACTATAATTAGTAATGTAAATAAAAGAAATTTAATAAATATTTTATCATAGATTTATCTAATCCTCATAAAGATGTTGTTGTCTTATTCATGTAAATTAGTTGGGGAATCGGGCAGACAATTTTAAGTTAATAAAAATTAAAAGTAAAAGGCTAACTCTTACCATCAAACTGATACTGAATAATATTGTTGAATACTTCCAGAAGAAAAAATACCAGATGATGGTTGGTTGCACTGGCATATAGGAACCATGGTGTACTGAATGCCTGGGGTAATAAATACAACACCAATTTTGTATACATCAACTAAGAATAAATTATGTCACACAATATACAAGCTAATCATTAAAACTATGCATATAGATCAGAGAGAAAAATGAAGTTAGTCCTTGTACAGTGTTTAGTCCTTGTACTTGTACAGTATTTTGTGCTTGTAGTTGTAAAATGTGAGATTCCTCCAATGATAAATCAGTTTATGTCAAAGATCAATGACGAAGACAAGGGTACAAACCACAATCAAAACTATGCAGTGAAATCTTGAGTAATCAAGTGCAGTTACTAAACTTACTTCAAGTAAATGTAGAAGTTTGGTACTGGCCACCATTGAAAGGGTCTTTAAATATGGAGACACTGCAATACATTGAGGATGTTAGAAATAACAAATGAAGAGTTGGCAATCAGATGATATGTAAAGGCAGACATTTCACAAACATATGAATGAACATTCATTGCTAATTTACTAAAACATTATTTCAATGATATTACATAGAATCTCACCTATAATTCTGTGGAATATTACCATTATTTTATGTGTTTTTTATCCCCTTTTTACATGCAATGTGCCATTCAACTGTTAGGTAAGAATTAGCCAACTCACCATTGACAATGATGGTCAGGAGGCAATCAAACAAAGGTTGTAGACGTTGATGTCCAGTTGTGATTATTTTATGGAATACCTAAAAGTATATTATTCCTTTATTTAACAGAGTGAGAAATCACTTTTTTTTTTCTTTAAATCAAAGCTGTGTGATTATTCAGTTATTTATACAAAAATATAACAAGAGTATAAAGGAAATGAAACAGCAATAAAACCTAAATAATTGGGTCTAAAATGGCTAACTCACTATAATGAGGAAATCAGCATGTGTTCCTGTGAAGACAGGAATGTCCATAGGAACTCTAACAGAGTATGGCTTGTTGAGTCGAACACCAAAGTTTCTCTCCCCACTGAGCAGAAGAAGGATAAATACTCCTATGTGCATCAAACCAACGCGAGCTACAGTAAAATGAAAAATTGTTTAGAACCTCTCTACATGCTCTATAAAAAAAATATGAGAGAAATAATCAGTATTATTGTAATCAAACTTACACTGATCAGCCCTAGCATCATTTAGGTTGTAGAGGATGGGAACTAGGATGTCTAAAACATCACTGCTCTTCAGTACAAAAAACATGAATTTCTGGAAAAGAAAAAGAAAATTTATATATACATAATGTCTTAAAGTGCATCTAACTAAATCAATTCAATGTATTCTATTTCTAGAGTAAATAAATGTTTGACAGTTTTGTTTTTCTCTTTATGCAATATAACTTTTAAAACTTTTGAAAATACATTTTTTTATAACTCAATGTAAAAGCTGATAGCCAATGAGAAAATCAACTATATTATTAAAGGGGAAACCATGTCAATTTACAGACTTTTTCCATTGCACAGAAGAATAAAAATAGACTTTATGTTTGTATCTTTTGCACATAATAATTAATTGGTGAGATGTTATGAGATAAAATAAAGCAACATCAAAATAAAAATACACACAACGTAATTATTTTTATTGCTCAAATTTGCTTCGTAAGATTTAACTGATAGTGCTCCTTAATAAGCTGCATATAAAATTTAGTATTTCACCAATTATTATGTTTTTACAGTAGCGTACATAAAATATCTCAAGGTATATTTAAATAGGATTTAATGTTTCAAAACATTACACCTTCAATTTCAATACATTATCAGCTGTCACTTGGGTTGCAGCATTTAATAAATCACACTCTACCACAAATTTAATTTTCTTTTAAATGAGATCGTTAATTAGAGTTAACTTAGAGACTAAACAATGTAATTCACTCCTAATAAAAAATAGTTTACTTTACATTTAATACTCACTTTGTTGATGTCACACATCTTCCAAAACAAAACCAACAACTCTTGGTAGAACTGAATCCTCTTACAAGATCCTGGGAGGTATGTTTGTTGTAGTGGGTTATTAAGCAGGCGGGTGATGCCTTTCAATATAAATGCAAAATCCTGAACGAAAAACGTTGGTAGTTTTAATATTTGAATGGAGTAATTCTGTTAAAGTAACAGAACTGGAAGCAAGTTGCATAGCTTTGAATTATTCTTGAAATAAAGCCCAGATTCTATTTAGCAACAGTTGTATTATGTTATCAATTGGCAACTGGGCATTGATTTATAAATCAACATAAATCAATAATGATTTGTCCCCTGAGAGCAAGAATGTACTAAACGACAAATTGACCAGCACTGAGTTTTGTCATTTTTCTAACTTCCTATGATATTAAATAATATATTCAATATCAAATACTCACTATTGCAGCTTTGCAAAGTCAAAAACAGTTTGTGGGTGTTTTTGTATGTGTGTGTGTGTTTGTGACACATTTATGGCCCACTAGATAAATCTACATACAGGATAACGTTTGATTTGGCACTTAGGAGAATCTTGCTCTCAACAGACAAATTGTGGTTTACACAAAGCGGCTATGACCCCATTCAAACTAATTTTACCTCTTCTCTATGAATCCTTGACAAGTAATTTAAGAACAGATTATCCGATCCACCACCCTGAAATATAAAAAAATAATTTTAAATGTAAATATGAGAAGTTAACTTCTTGAGCTTATCTAGTAATTTTTATACATCATAACTTAAGATTTAAGATAGTCTATTGGTAAGAGATGAACAAAATGTTGTCTGTAAAATTTAATATTATCATCCATCATTTTGATTTCCCTCTAGCTCTAGGAAAAATATTTCATGATGTGTTAACCATTATGTATAAAAATTAAAAATACAAGCATTTTGCAATGATAGAATGCATTTTTCTTTCCAACATAATCTGAGTACTAATATAATCATTAAAATGTATAAATCCATTTTCTCACAAAGTAGAATAACACCAAAAGGTCACCCTTTTCCTACCCACAAGTTTCCTTACCTCACCAGTCTGATCCATAGCTGTCCCACCACTTGTACCATCCACTGAGACAGGCTGAGCATTCGAATCATTCTCCATTGTGACACACAGCACTTGTAATGCCACCTCAACAAGTGGTTCACGGGAGTCAGTAAACATCAGGTGATTGTAGGGTACACCATAGCCAACAGGGTCATAGGAGCATAAGCAATTTAGTAGGGATGTGAATAATGGCAGGGCATGTCTGCAAATGAAAGGGAAAACTAGTTTTTCTCCATCATATCCAATAATGGCAAAAATACTACCTATTTAAAAATTATTCACTTTGGCTTTGTGTCTGGCGAATCCTCCTTTTTCCTTGTGTAATTGCAATCAGTGTGAACACATTAGTATTGTCACAAAATAGATGTTTAAAATAATTGAGATTTTTTTTTTTGTAATTCTTTTTTTTTTTAAATAATTTTTTTTTTTATTACAAGAAAGTAAAACTGCATCAAGAATTATCATTCCTATAATATTTTCATTACTTTGGATACAATCAAAGTCCTATAATATTTTCATTACTTTTGATACAATCGAATTCCTATAATAGTTTCATTACTTTTGATACAATCAAATTCCTATAATATTTTCATTAATTTTGATACAACCAAAACAGGAATATTTTTTATCACATAATGATGAAAACAAAAAATTAACTGAGGAAAACAAATGTTATAATGAAGATCCTTGCCTATTCTCAGTAGAGGTGAAAAACTGAATCCATTGATTTGGAACAACATGTGCGTCAGCTGTGAAAAAATACAGATGTTATACAGATGTTATACAGATGTTTTTCATTTCCATAACATTATAGGCATGCCTTTTAAAGAAAAGTTCCAAGCCACAGACATAAAGGTGAATTTATCATTTAACAAGACAATGAAACATAAACAAAATCTAGAATATCATTGAACTGATGTAATATTTATTCATGTAACTATTAGAAAGACCTAAGTAAAGAAAATAGGAATGATCTAGTAAAATTTTAAATAACACTAAGAAAATCTTACCAACAGGTGGCAGATACATTGTCTCTGAGAAGCAGGTCAACAACAACTTCAAAAGTTCCATTCTGTTCTGGTCATGAAATGAATTGTGTGGTGGTGAATGGGCAAAGCCAACTCCAGCTTCCCAGATATACTCACAACTGTCAATAGTGCCCATGTCTTCAGGATTATCCTGAGAAATAGGTTAAATCAATCAAACAGTGTTCTTTTTGCATAAGCAGATATTGTTTAACATTCATTTAATACCTAGCATCCAAGACAAAAACAAATAAATCTGACACATAATGACATACTGTTCTTCAAGTTGATTCCCAGAACTTGAGAGAATTAATTCACAGGTGTTATGTTGAAATTTCATCATATTATTAAAGGTAATGTCTGGTACTTACATAAGCATAAAAATAAATAATTAAACCATCACTTATCCTGAGTGACAACAGATTTTTAACTTAAGTATTACTATTCATAAAACCCACTTTAAAATGTTTGAACTTACTGGCCCAGATTTCCTTGAAGTTGCCACAGTAAACTCTGGACAGAAAAGTAAATCCTGGAAACAAATAACAAAATGTATCAATTAAGAACACATCAATTCAGCAAAGAGTTTACAAAAGTAATAAGTTTTAACTGAATGTATAGGAATGGTTAATGCTAAGTTGTTAATGCTAAGTTTTTAATGCAATTGTAACATGCTTCAAATTTGTTTTTGTAAGTTAATTGTCCTACTTACACAAACAGCTGCAATAAGGGACTGAGCCAAAGGAGGACTGTCACCCTTGGATAGAGAATGTCAAGCTTTAAACAATATAAGTATTCTACAAAATACTGATTGCTAAATCAAGACATGAGCATGTTTCTACATTTCTTGCTCTCTGAATAGCTTCTTAACAGCTTTATATATTTTCAAAATCAAATCAACACAATATGTAATGTTTTCAAACTTGAGGAGAAAAAAAACTTACCTCCCCTTCTTCTTGACCTGGTAGAGTAGACCAAAAAAATCCCCTCCAATCAGGATCTTCAAATATGTAGGGCAGTATACGTGTTAAAAGTCGCACACAATTCAAAACTGAAAGAAACATTTCTTAATGAAATAGTTTTTAAATTTAAATTTCTTAATTCTCCAAAAATAACAAATTTATCCACCCAATGCCCAATTTTTTAACCTTTTAATGAGTTTATGGTGTAAGTAGCATTAAGCCTTTTGCTACCTATGAAAGTAGATGTACAGGGATATTTGTTTGGTTTTTTTAAATACCCAGCACTGGCCTTCCTGTACCATTTGAACTTGACATAACTCCAGATAACAAGTGCCATGTGTTTAATTACAACTTAGTGAAACCATGACACTGGCTTCCACCTTTACAATCTAGATGAGCATATTCCGAAACTTCATTCAGAGATGAAGTTTATTAGTCATAATATACATGTTAGGTAATCTATAAAATAAAAAGTTACAGGCAGTTTTAAGATAAGTCCCTATAAATCCCCAGCTTGAGTGTGGTTTTTATGTAAAAGCGGTCCTGAAAAGCTTGGTTTTTCTTCCCTTTTTTTTTTTAAATCTAAGATATGGAAAAGGTTAAAGAAAAAATATATACATCTAATAGCACATATATTCACAATGTTAAAATTGTCCACCTGTCTGCTGCTCTCGTTGAGATGGACATCCTGTCTCAGCTGCTGTTACCAATTTCTCCACAGCCTTGTAGCATAGAGTTGCTAGGTTGGATGGTGATTCTTCTCTAAGTGCTCGTATTTCAGCTGCGGGTATGAGGGTAAAAACATCCTGTACACATGTGACACTTTCAGACCAAAATTGCTCCCAGAATGCTTCATCATTGGCTTCAATCGGCTGAAAAGAAAAAACAACTCACTGGTTAAGAACAAATAGAGAAAACTAAATATAAAATCTTTATACAGTAGTGCCTTTCAAAGTAAGAAAGTAAATAAAGATGTGGTTGATCATCTTTTTAACGTTCAAAGTTTCAAGTTAGTTAGTTCAGTTAGCTATATTAATGTATCGCTAATTTTTATTTTAAAAAAATTAAAGCACTTTATTTTTTCTTCTTTTACTGTATATCTGTAACTGTAGGAGCTAAATAAAACACGATGTCTCCCTTTCTCAATACATTCCACTACCCGTGTTGGTTACCACTTTATCTTGTCATATCTCCTCTCAAGGCTATAAAGATGGAGGCCAGTAAAAAAAAGTAGTACACAACACATAGAAAAGGGTGGTACCAAATTCCTTAAGTTTACAATTAACTAAATTTACTAAGTCTAAGTCCCTTTTGGCTAATACAGAGAATTGGTGCCATTAGGGATATATTTAGGGTTCAGGTTAGGTTAGAGTTCAGGTTAGGGTTAGGGTTCAGGTTAGGTTAGGGTTCAGGTTAGGTTAGGGTTCAGGTTAGGTTTAGTGACAGTGAATTATAAATGTTCACGTGTCGTGGCAACTAAGAAGGCGGCCGTGTGATACGACCATCATATGTCATGGCACCAATTTGCATTTACCTCACTTTTTTAGACCCCCTCAGCCTAATTTTTTGTCTTTACTAATTTACAAAATTGATCACTCATTCTCACTGATACTGACACATTCTTTATTTACATAGCTGACTCAGCACTGATACTCTTCTTCCCTTTAGTTTAGACTTTTACTAGATACTTTGGTCCAAAATTTAAACATTTTGTAAAAATAAACCAATGGCACAGTTGAATAGAGCAAATTTTTTACAGAATTATAACACCAAAATCATATTTTTAGCTGTTGTAGTTTTAAAGTTATGAATTTTTAAAGTACGACTTGGTTTGTCCTTTTTTAACATGGACTGCATCTCCACATTCTGTGACCTCATTCGGCTGATCGCGTCATGCGCAATGACTATATAGTTTATATAAAGCAACGCATTCCCTTATCACTAAAATACTGTTTAGGGTCGACTTAATTTAAACTTTCAACTTTGGCACATGAATAATTAATTAAAGCTTCCCTGACCAATGGTTTAATAGCTTTTGCACACGGCAAACTCTTATGAATGAAACTCTGAGATAGTACTACGATATAGCCGCTATGCAAGTGACTGTGAATGGTTGCCAATGACAACGTATTGCACAGGGAAAATTCTGATCATTTATAATATGGACTCTACAGGGTTTTTAAAGCTCAAATTAAAACATTCCAGTTTAAATGTCTTCAAAATGCATTCTATATATTTTGATGTATATAATGGTAATAATTAAATATTTCCTAAGTATCGTCAACTTCCGCCATTAAAAAGGGGGGCGTGACCCACGTCATGTCGAAATTAGGCTGAGCCACCTTATGATGATATGGGTCACTGTGACAAGCGTAAAAAACGTGAGACACTACCTACATCAATGAAACTTGGCACAGATATAGATCAATATCTAATGCTCATACAGATTTAATCAAAAAGGGCCTTATCTTATTATTTACCAAAAAATTTTGTATGCGAAGATGCCTTATATATACCAAAGATTTTCAAAATAAAGGTCGATTGAAAAAAGCAAAATAGCTGGCTAGAAATGTAGGCCAAGATGTCTTCCAAATTATAAGGCCGGAAATGGAACTCAAATATATGTCGAAAGCACTCATTTAATAATAAATAGACACACATCGGAAAATTAAAAACTCTGATTTTTCGGCGCAGATTGCCAATTCCAATACACAAAAAGTAGTAGCCTCCCTTGGTTTACCGAAGTATCTATTTTTACTTTTACACTTTATTATTTTTATTTTACAGTTGACTTAATTTAATTTACCTTATTTAATATAATATCAGACAGTACTTTCGGGTACTGACGGTAACACTAGTCTAGTCTAGTATAGTAACAGTAACAGTATAGTAATACTAGTAACTGAAAACAGTTGACTGAGTTGAGTTAGGTACTTAGTAGTAGTTATGCAAAGTCTTTAAATTTAAAGCAGTAACAAGTATTATATTAAGAATTAAGATTAGGGCCAAATTAAGATTAAGTCTGCTCTATTAACTATTACTATTATTATTATAAACTCAAAGCCTTAAAAAGAGTATAAAATTTTCCTGATAAAATTAAATACTTGTGTTTTTGTTGTCAGTTGAATTACAGCTTTCCTGAAATTCAGTTTAGTGTCTGTATTTCCCATAATTTACAAATTTCGAGACAGAAGACCATAAAATACATAATCAGTCAATCTCTTCAGAATACACATAAACAAGAGGAAATACGTCATGTTGTAAAGTCACGTGACCACCAAAACTCCGTAAAATTCCGTAATTTATGCCCATTCTGTCTAGCTTTATGCAGCTGCGCAGTTTAAACAGCAAGGAGTTATCTTTGTAACTGGTTGGTCAGTCAACTTTAAATTCGTATTAAGAGATAGCGTTTTCCATTTGTAGCCTAAAATTTAACAAGTTGTTGCTGTTTGAAACGAATAATAAAGTGGGCTTTAATGGTGGACACAAGTCTTCACAAGTAGCGTAAAAAGTGGGAGGGGTGAGGATCACACCATGGCACCGGGTGACACCTTCCCGCCTTCCCAATGGGTTACACCAAATTGAAAATTCTAAATTAAAAAATTAAATAGAGTTTGTTTGAGCAGTTTTCATTACAGTTCAAAGTTGAATAAAAATAGCAGGGTGCCGTCAGAACATTGGTGCCACCAGAGTAGCATGCCATCAGCGCAGGATGCCACCAGAGCAGAATTAACATTAAGGCAAATGAAGCACGTCGTCGTGCCTAGGACCTCCACGCCTATTAGGAGCCCAGCGACAATTAATCATTTTTTTTTTTTTAAATTGATGCTATATTGAAAGAAGTCTGAATATCTTTACAAAATAATCAATTAGAAGGAGAGAAGAGAGAGAAGTAAGGGAAATTTAACACACTCCGAAAATTTTTCCATGGGGTGGTTATCATCAAAGGTTGGCTTTTGAGCGACTGTCGACGTATTATGACAGGAGAGATCAGATAAGCAAAACGTTGAGTTACAAGATCGCTTGAAAATGGACAAAAAAACTAGTTCACTGAGCTCTTCCGCCGTATTGTGAAATAAAAACAAGTTGAAACGTAATATTAAAATTTAAAAAGAGAAATCTTCTTGGTATTGGGGGAAAGTTGGAATGCACTGGAACAGAGGCGTAGCGAGTGTTTGGCGCCCGGGGACAAGTTTTGCGCCCAGGGACAAGATTCATTTTAAAGCGCCCCATTTTATTTTTTTTCAACCCTCAAAACCCATTATTTTCATCATAAAATAATATCAAAGCACATAGCTGGCGCCCGGCGAAATCTGCCCCCCCCCCAACTACGCCTCTGCACTGGAACTAAAGGGAAACAAGCGTTATTCGAAGATAAAATATTGATTCGGGAATTGTGTGCATCATAGTTATAGTCCACACAATTAAGAGAAAGGCAACAGTTGGCGGGATGTTGTATGATGCATACAAATGCGAGGCATTTTTATCATTATTTCAATTATGAATGTTTGGATGAATGCTATTTCATCCTTTTCAAATCAAAGAGTGGGGGTTGTGTGTGGGGGGGGGGGGGGGTCGGGCCTGTTTAAATAGTTTTTTTTTTAAAAACATTAAAANATATAATGTTGGCACGTGCCTGGGTGTTTTAAAAAAAAAAAAAGACGTTCCATTAGAAAAGCGCTGTGTTTTGTTAAAGTGACATTTAAAAAAAAAAAAAAAAATTTAAAACCCTGAAATTTTAAATCTTGTTGACACCATGAGTGTCCAACTGTTTGTGGGTAGGCCTTCATGGACAATCTTGTCTGTGTGGCGTTCTTTTGGAGAGAAAACAAATATTATCAGGGTGATGCCACTCTGGCCTATATATTATTTATGTAGGTCTTTTTTTTTTTTTAAAGTTGTTATATTTATTCACGCCTGGATATCAGATGTAGGCCTACTCATTCTTTTTTTTATAAATTAATCCATTTTGATTTAGTAGTCTTTAACCGAACACTTACAACTTACGACAACTAACCAGTAACTATGGCTCAAAATCCAGTACTGTGCTGGTAAAACAGTACGAATGGTAACCTGGTGTTTGAGCTATTTTTCATATTTCACCGTTTAGTCCAATCCGCTGCGCATGTTAGCCACGCGAGTCAGAAATGAAACTTTCGATAAGCTATTACAATTGACATGCAACTGGTTGAAATCTATACTAATACACACAACAGAATCCAATAAATATTTTATTAGCATACAGATTACGGTACATGGTGCAAAAATAAGAAAATACCCACAGTATACCCTACTATTCCTTGCCCTTCACTAAAGCATGGTTTGGCAACGCTAGGCGACACCAAAATACACTCGAGCATCCCCGAATTCAAGCCCCTGAGGCCTAGGTTTCAGCCAACATATGGGCACATTGCTATCTAAGTCTATGTCAAGTAAAATGGGCAGACATAGGGGTTGGCTAAACCAGTTGATTATATTAATTAAAGACTCATTAAGTCAATGGTCCGGGCCCTTTTTGAGTCTGCAAACCCTTTGAGAGCATATCCATAATACGATCCAGCATTCGTATTCTTATTAAATTTCTGTATTAATGTTAGTGCACATTTTTAAAAGAAAGACTGTTATGTTCGAAACAATATTTCATTTGAGAACTAATAGGGGAAACCCTGAAAAACCACCAAAAAAAAAAAAAACACCAACGGACGTCTCGACTAAGAAACCTTAAAAACATTCCATAATACGATCCAGCATTCGTATTTTTATTAAATTTCTGTATTAATGTTAGTGCACATTTTTAAAAGAAAGACTGTTATGTTCGAAACAATATTTCATTTGAGAACTAAAAGGGGAAACCCTGAAAAACCACCAAAAAAAAAAAAAAAACACCAACGGACGTCTCGACTAAGAAGCCTTTAACACAGCGGTTCTCAACCTGTGGGTCGCGACCCCTTTGGGGGTCGTGGGACCCTTTTCCAGGGGTAGCCTAAGACCATCTGAAAACATATATCCTTACAGCTATGAAGTAGCAACGAAAATAATTGTGTGGCTGGGGGATCGAAACGACACGAAAAACTGTATTAAGGGGTCGCGGCACTATAAAGGTTGAGAACCACTGCTTTAAACCGCAAACAAAGAGAGAGAGGGAGAGAGAACGGAAAGATAAACTTAGTTGATGGTAGTGATAGTAAACAAGAACAGTGACTTAGTATGCCATTAGGTATAGCCGATAGAGACTGCAGCCTTCAGCGGCAATTTTTTCAAGGAACGGCAAATTTCAGCAAAATAATATTTTTAAAAAATAATACAGACTAATTCGATTATGAAGTTTGAGATGATCAAATTCTGCACCCAGAAAAGAATAAATAAAGAGTTTATTTTGTTTAAAAAAAACAAACAACAAAAAACATCTTGGATACCACTTTTCATTCAGTTCATGATCGATCTATTGATCAGGCTATTGACTGTGTTTCCTGGAGCTGGCATGCTGCAAATATCATATAAGCTGTGTCCAGTTTTGAACGGAATCCACATTGGTTTTCAGGAAGTATTCTCTGTTAAGGGTGTAGTTGTAAACTTTAGTACGTCCTCTCTCTCTCTCTCTCTCTCTCTCTCTCTCTCTCTCTCTCTCTCTCTCTCTCTCTCTCTCTCTCTCTCTCTCTCTCTCTCTCTCTCTCTCTCTTCCTCACTAAATGGTGGACGTGTTCCGATATTCTTACCGTTGTATTCAAATGCGATTAAACTATTTTGGGTTGTATTATTTTTTAGTGAACGAGGTCTCTGTTGCTTTATGCTTTGTCCTAAACCGCTACAGGAATACCTCTAGTGTCAGCAGCATGCTGGAAACACTGGACTGGTCATCATTGGAGGAACGACGACGACTATACAGGCTCTCCATAATGTACAAGATAAATAATGTGCTGGTCCACTGCTTCAGCATTAAAAAGAAACTCGTCCCTCTCCCCGATAGACAGCGACGATGCCATGATAGGCAGTTCTAGCTCATATCTGCAAGAAGCCAGTATAGGAACTGCTCATCCTGCCAACGACAATCAGGGACTGGAACAAGCTTCCAAATGGAACAGATAGGCGATAACAATTGAAACATTTTCGTCGATTGTCTTAGGCCTTCAAACTGCCAGTTCATGATACCCTCATTCTCCTTCAACACCAGGCGCATAAAGATTGCAAATCCCCTCTACATGCATAGGAGCCAGAATGATCAATAAATTGATCGTGGGCCCTAAATATACAGAAGAAGAAGAAGTACGGCTAACACTCCCAATAACTGTTATGAAAGCTGAAATAAGCGTTTCAAAGCTCAAACCCATAACAACATATTATTTTGGTCCGACCTTGTCTCGTGATCGTTTGTTTAGCCAAAATATCCGTAGAAAGAACGCTGGCAGAAAACCTGGATATGACCGAAAAAAAAATATCAGGATTTTGGCTTCTGCTAAAGCGAGGAAAGCATATTTGTCTTGAAATAAACGTTTAAATTAAAATGTTTACCCCCATACCCTCCTGTCACGAATTTCACCCCCCCCCTTTTTTTTTTTCCTCCAAAATACGTCACACGTTCAAACCAAATAGATAAAAAAATCAAATTAAAAATCTTATGTAAAATGCACTTTACTATTAATTTATGAAGGCAAAATCTTCTTTCAAAATAAACATATCTCAACAGAAGGTTAAAAAGCAAATTCAATTTCAGGTTATGTATGTATGATAACCATTTTTAAAATGTGTGACGTCAAGCAAGATCTTTATTTACCCCCCACCCCAAAAAAAAACATGTTACAAATGTCACACTTTCTTAGACCCCCCACCCCCACCTCTTCCGGAGCGTGGCGTAGTACCTTATGGATGACCCCCATTATACACATTCATTAAAAAAAAAAACTACCATTACATGATTTTTTTTGTTTCAGTTCAGTAGTCCACTGCTGATATTGATGGTTTGATTAAATTTTCTTCTATATTATGATTTTCCCCAGATTTAGCGATGAGTAATGAAATTTCATTACTCAAGAGTACGATTGACAGTTGCAGTATGTGCAATAAATATAGACGTTAATATTGCCCCTTTTCAAATACAAGTTAACTCATATTAGAAGGTTGGCTTTCAAATTATAGACAGCTCATTTTCTGATTGCCTTCTCTCCCCCCCCCACAAAAAAAAACAATCACTTTGCCCCCCTGTGGGGCGTGTCCCCCATGTTGGGAAAAACCGGCCTAAAGCACTAAGCTTTCTAAGGTCGGTAATAAACAGGAAATGATGATGAATTGTGTGCGGAAGTGTCCAAAGAAATAATAATACAAATACTATTTTAAACACAATTTTGAAATGGCCCTTGACTTTTGGAACCCCAATG